CACGAGGGCCTTCGCGCTGGCTCGCATTGTGGCAGCGAAAGCGGGTTATGGGCTCATTGACTTGGCCCGTGTACTCATTAATGCCAGCTCGACTGAGCCAACCCAACACCGGCTGGGCTCGGCGAGCCGAGTGTTAGGGAACTCGTACGGTGCGAAAGAAGTTCAACGTACATACAACAACGCGGTTTGTGTACCGAGCCACGTGCTGCCACGCGGGCCGGCCTCGGCAAGGGTCGTGATCTCGTGGGGTGAGATCACTCTGTTACATTTTCCAGCCATGTTATTAAAATACACGTCCAGAAAATTGCAAAGGTAACAGACTTTAACTTTGAACAGTCGAACTTTATCGACGCCTGTCAAATGCGGTTAAAACAAGTTGTAGAAAAATATAGCTTCCTGACTTTCACCCTCGGTGTGGAGGGTGTGGAGGGAGGGCCTGCTGCACTGGCAGAGCCACGTGGCTTCTGGGTGGCTCGGCTTGGCACGGCTTGTCTGGCAGTTGTCATGGTGAAGGAGCACAAATCACCTTCAGCTGCCTCCTCGCGAGTTATCCTGATATCCGTGCTCATTGCCCTTTCGAGTTTGACAGTCTCATTCCCAAGAGCTAATTCAACGTACCCTGCTTTTTAACATGTAGGCTTTCGCTTTACCAATCAAACTCGCAATGTGTGACTATTGCTCGAATTTCTGCTGGTTAGATTTGTTCGTAGACACCGAATCCTATCCGTGTCTCCATGTGTTTATCATACTGTATGAATATATCTGAAGGGCTGTTAAAACGTTTTCAATGCAGGATGTTGAATATAATAATTTGCACAAACTAACAGTCTTAAATACAGTTCCACTTGTAATGGTTTGGGAATTATATTAAAAAAACCCTATCATGCCATTAGGTTACAAAATAAAATACGAAGACAAATATCTCCTTAATATCTGTCCCCACAATTATATATTTACACATCTCATTCAGATCAAGGCATTCTTGGCATGCATAATTTTAGCAGCATTGGTTTAACGCAAGCAACTTGGACCGGTTTTGGCAGTGGCACATCAGCAGGTACTTTTTTTTATTTTGTTTACAGCCAAGAGCAAACTTCGAGAAGTGCCCTTTAAAAAAAAAACCTGCTGTTATGAAATATTCTAAGATTGTGGTAAAATATATACCGTGAGTAAACCTGGACATTCCCACCCCGAAAGCCAACGGGTTTCGCCTTCACTACCAGAGGGCGTTTGTCAGCTTTCCAGATGTTCTGACTTCAAGCTTTTTTTAGCTAACAACACATTGTCAAACCTTCATTCTTCTTTTTTTAATTTCAAGAACATAACCGTGTGTGGTTGATAATACACTCAGCCATACGGCATGTTTTTGTTATTGCCTTGCTTGTTCCACATCTGGAGAAGGTTAAAAAGAAACATATTACATCACAGGGGCCGTCCATAAATGACGTTACGCACCTAGGGGGGGTTCAGACATTTGTGACGATGTGTGACGAGGGGGGGGGGGTTTGAGAAATGTGACGTCACATACAAATGCGCAACTTTAAATAAATATAGACAACACGTTCTACTTAATTAAATAGACTTTTAATAAATGTTTTCTCCTGCAAGATCATAGTGCAGCGCCACATTAAATACGCACTACAATGACAATAGTTTAAAGCGATGTGAAGCATGTTTTATATATTTTTTTTGGGGGGGGGGGGGCAGAGCTTCGTGACGTCATATTTGAGGGGGGGTCTGACTTTTTGTGACGCCGTGTGATGAAGGGGGGGGGGGGGGGTCAAAAATCGTCCAAAGTCGCGTGACGTCATTTATGGACGGCCCCCACAGTGTATTGTGAGCAAATGAGACTTTTATATGAAAAGTAACTAAACCTCACTTTATTGAGCAGGGTGGATTGGCATTGATGTACTTAATAGTTACCTGTATCCATGGTGACAAACAGAGTGGTGTTAAAACCACACAAACCGAGCAGTTAACACCTACATTTAAAAAAAAGGTTACTAGATTACACCCGAGACAGCCCCAGGTGCCATGGGTTGACTGACTGAGATGACTGGCAGATGCACCAGCTATGGGGGCCGCCTGCTGTGCCAACTTGCCGTGTTGTCGCCGCATGGCGCTCCGCTCGTTGTTGTGAGCGTCGCTCCTCTGTCCTCCGTTGTTGCCGGAGGACGGCTGCCGACCTTGACACCTTGACACCGCTGGTTTCAATGATCGGCAAGTCCACTCAGCTCCACATCCTCATGTAACACTTTAGTCCATCTCTTCACCGGCGCGTTTAACAGAAGCTGCTTGGCCATGCGGTGGCTGGGCATGCGGGTCTACGTGACCCAGCCAACACAGCTCCACTTTGCCAGAGGAGCTCACCGATGGGACTATGTCCAGATCTTTAAAAGATCTGTGAGCTCCTCAAACAATCCAGTTTGATACGGAGACAAAACCAAATATAATTTATATAACCTTAACAGGCTCTCGGGGCAAATGCCGTTCGCGAGCAATCCCGGCCTTCATTGGTGCTCGCTAAGAGCACTTGATCTAACAGTATGTTAAAGACTATTTGGGGGATCTTTGTCTTTGTAGCGTGGTTGTCATGGATGATGAGAGCCAGGTGAAGGAGAGCCAGGGGGAGGAGAGATGATGAGTCTTCGTGGCTTGTCCACATGGCACTCGGGGTAACAGTCAACAGATCCAGGCACGACGCAACACGATATTGGTTGCCTTGTATGTATTCACGTGCAATGGTTTATTCATTTAAACATTTACTATAATTGTGTTGGACTTGTGTTTTAAAGGGTGATATATAAAACTCAACACTAAAATAAGTTAATAAAGACACATCTCAGGTTTATTTTTGGGAGAGTTTTGTAAAAATACAGAAATATGTTGATAAAAGTGCTGATAAAGGCAGCTTGTTTTCACTCTCTTTCATCACGCAGTCATGCCCTTTGCCACACGTGAACAGTGCACAGCATTTAATGTTTCCGCTGTTACTTGGGCACTAAAAGTGTACGGTTACACAAAACAACAAACGTCACTGGTCTACAAATAAATATGCAAAGCCCTAGGTAACCTTAGTTCAACACCTTTGTCGCTGTTAGGTTTGACATTGGACACTTTATAGGTCCTGTGCGTGGAGTGGAGTGTGCGGTATAACTACTTCAGTGGCGAGAGCCGTGGAGTCAGCATATGCCTGAGCTGTTGTCGATATCGAGTAATTCAAACGATATTACGTTAATGTGTAATTCACTGCCGTATGTACCGTGCTGAGTATAAACACCACTTAATTATCAGTGTTTTGTGTCATGGGGTGCTATTACCTCCTTTATTATAAACAGAACATCACTTAAACTTGGCCCTTTTGCCAAATATATCATCGTGAAATGTATGTCTCCAATCCACCTGTTGGGATGAAACTTGGCAGGAACATATGCACACACTGGTACCAAGGTAGGCTGCACTCCTTCAATTGAGGAGGAATTTTTTTGTCACGAACTCTATCCTGAAGCCCTCTCGTCCGTGGCCAGCAATCGTCGACGTTGGCATTGAGCTCCTGCACCGCAAGAATAGATCTGGTACCTTTAGAGGCGTTTAGAGGACCACAACAGTCACAGGGTAGTCAAAAACAGGACCTGGCAAGGCGATCAGGCCCGTGACTGTTTTGAGTTTCAGAGTTGAAAACTGGCAGCAAACCCTGTGCGCCGCTGAGGCTTTACACAGGATTGTGTGCTGTCAAATGCTGTCACGTGCTGGAAGTTATGTTATTTTGTTTTACTGGAAAATAATATTAAATGTTGATGAATTATCTAACGAGTATTAGAGAAACAATAAAGTAATAAAAATATATAAAACAATACAAATTCTCACGTTTCGACCATAACACAAACGGTCATCATTACCATCATCACCTGATGATGACCGTTTGTGTTATGGTCGAAACGTCGTGAGAATTTTTATTGTTCTATATATATTTTATTACTTTATTGTTTCCCTTCAACGTGACTTTACCGAAAGAGCTGAATTACTGCAGTCACGAAAGCTTTAAATCAAAATTTAAAGAGTATTAGAGAATTCAACCATTTAAATATATTTACTGATAGACTCACAACACGGCTGTTTTTTTCGTAATATGTATTTGAAGTGCACACTATGCCTTTGGAAATCCAGTAGTTACTGTAAATTGTAAACGTGACAGTTATATTTCTTCAGTTTTTTATCATTTAAAACATAATTTTCTGATCTATAATCGACTTTGGAGGGTCAGTTCGCGGAAATAAAATGTGTGTTGTGGACCCTCCACCACCCATCCATTTTATCGCAGGAATTCCTGCACACAGTTGGGAAAAAAACCACGCGCATTCAGTCAGCAGCAGCAGCAGCGGGCTCCTCGACGCCGTGATCATGCAGTAAATATTAATGCACCAATGGGCGCATCGTCAATTGCCTCATATCGTACTCATGACATTGTTTAGCGGCTGAACACCATAGCTCGGGTCCAGTAGCAGCATTATCATCATCAGCAGCATCATCAGCAGCAGCAGCAACATCATCAGCAGCATCATCATCATCAGCAGCAGAAACATCATCAGCAGCAGCAACATCATCAGCAGCAACATCATCAGCAGCAGCAGCATCATCAGCAGCATCATCATCATCAGCATCATCAGCAACATCAGCAGCATCATCAGCAACAGCATCAGCAGCATCATCATCAGCATCATCATCAGCAGCAGCATCATCATCAGCAGCAACAGCAGCAGCAACATCATCATCAGCATCATCATCAGCAGCAACAGCATCAGCAGCACCAGCATCATCATCAGCAGCAACAGCATCAGCAGCAGCATCATCAGCAGTAGCATCATCATCAGCAGCAACAGCATCAGCAGCAGCAACATCATCATCAGCAGCAGCATCATCATCATCAGCAGCATCATCATCAGCAGCAGCAACAGCATCAGCAGCAGCATCATCAGCAGCACCATCAGCACCATCATTATCAGCAGCAGCATCAGCAGCATCATCATCAGCAGCAGCATCATCATCAGCAGCAGCATCAGCGCTCGTGTGGCTCAACGAGCCCCAGCGTGGCGCTGAACCCCACGGACGCGAGGGGTGGGTGAGTGTCCCTCTGCTGTCATCCGCCGCCGCTTAAGTTTTCCCCCCCCACCTCCGATAAAAAGTCGGCTTCACGAATATCTCCAGGATCGTCGTCGAACTTCCGTAAGAAGACGAAAACAACGTTGGCCGAGTGTGGCAGCGAAGATTATTGAAGATCGCAGAGACTCGGCAGGGCGACTTGGGGGGGAGGCGGTCACCGCTCACCACCCCCAGGGCACCATGAGCAGCCACCAAGGCCTCAACCTCCTACACGTACGGCCTCGCCTTCGTCTCTTTCACCACCGCTGCAGTCCTCTCGGCAACAGCGGTTGTTTTTACCTCCACCCCCAGCTTGCTTGTGGATTAAGGAGCTTGTTACGCGTGGTTGGTTTTGCGTTGCGGGTTGCGTGTTTGGCTGGAATAGCTTACTAGGCCCGCGTCGAGCCCCGTTCATTTCTACTGCACTGTAGTTATTCGCGACTGTTGTTGTTGTACACTAATTAGCTTCATTCAGATATTTCCCCGAACTTGTCGTTCCTCTCGAGTCGGTATCATTAATCGCAGGGCAATTCGTGCAACCGAATGCGCTTCACGCTCCCGGGGCACGGGGGCGCCGTGTTTCCCGGGCCGCGTTCAGGCGAGGCCGGCGCTTGAGGCTGCGGCTAGGCCGCCACTGGCACCTTGCCTTAAAGGCGGCTCGGTCACAATGTACTCGCGTGTAACATACGTGATTACACTACAGTCGTTGTACATTTAAATCAGTAAATTAGTGACTTGAACACGAAAAGCGCATTCGCCTTCAGCACGCGGCGTTGCTAAGCAACACCACGAACAACTCCAAAGATATTATTGGTTCTTTCGGTAAAGTCACGTAGAAGGGAAACAATAAAATAATAAAAATGTAAAACAATACAATTCTCACGACGTTTCGACTGCAACACAAGCAATCATCATCAGGTGGTGTGTGGTTTTCACACCTTCAAGAAGGACTGACCACCTGTTGATGAGACACTGAATGTTGAAACCGGTCCAGTTTTGCTGATGTTGACCGTGTAGCTTATGGGATTTCAGCCATGCTAGGCGCATGATTTAGAAACGAAAAAAACGCGGTTCTATTCCTTAATAATGTAACATTTTAGTTAAAACTCCTCGTCATAAATGTATTAATTAATGTATAGGAGGCAGTGAATCGTGCATGGATGAATCCAGCTTGGCTGGTGGTGTGTCTGGCAGGCGCAATGCGGGTACGACTCTGAGTTGAGCGAGTGTGGGAGCGAAGTGGACACATCTGAACGCCAGGACTCCAGACGGTATGAAATAGTTGCACTTAGATTTGGAATGTTATCACACCTATGTATGTATGTATGTCAAACTGCTTTCACATCGTACGTAGCCAACCATGCTGATCGGAGGTGCGGGGGAAGTTAAACAAGCTAGGTACAAAAAGCATGCGGTGCATGCAGATGCTGTATTTATACAGTGAGGGAAAAAAGTATTTGGTCCCCTGCTGATTTTGTACGTTTGCCCACTGACAAGGAAATGATCAGTCTATAATTTTAATGGTAGGTTTATTTGAACAGTGAGAGACAGAATAACAACAAAAAAATCCAGAAAAACGCATGTCAAAAATGTTATAAATTGATTTGCATTTTAATGAGGGAAATAAGTATTTGACCCCTCTGCAAAACATGACTTAGTGCTTGGTGGCAACACCCTTGTTGGCAATCACAGAGGTCAGACGTTTCTTGTAGTTGGCCACCAGGTTTGCACACATCTCAGGAGGGATTTTGTCCCCCTCCTCTTTGCAGATCTTCAAGTCATTAAGGTTTCGAGGCTGACGTTTGGCAACTCGAACCTTCAGCTCCCTCCACAGATTTTCTATGGGATTAAGGTTTGGAGACTGGCTAGGCTACTCCAAGACCTTAATGTGCTTCTTCTTGAGCCACTCCTTTGTTGCCTTGGCCGTGTGTTTTGGGTCATTGTCATGCTGGAATACCCATCCACGATCCATTTTCAATGCCCTGGCTGAGGGAAGGAGGTTCTCACCCAAGATTTGACGGTACATGGCCCCGTCCATCGTCCCTTTGATGCGGTGAAGTTGTCCTGTCCCCTTAGCAGAAAAACACCCCGAAAGCATAATGTTTCCACCTCCATGTTTGACGGTGGGGATGGTGTTCTTGGGGTCATAGGCAGCATTCCTCCTCCTCCAAACACGGCGAGTTGAGTTGATACCAAAGAGCTCCATTTTGGTCTCATCTGACCACAACACTTTCACCCAGTTGTCCTCTGAATCATTCAGATGTTCATTGGCAAACTTCAGACGGGCATGTATATGTGCTTTCTTGAGCAGGGGGACCTTGCGGGCCCTGCAGGATTTCAGTCCTTCACGGTGTAGTGTATTACCAATTGTTTTCTTGGTGACTGATCCCAGCTGCCTTGAGATCATTGATAATATCCTCCCGTGTAGTTCTGGGCTGATTCCTCACCGTTCTCATGATCATTGCAACTCCACGAGGTGAGATCTTGCATGGAGCCCCAGGCCGAGGGAGATTGACAGTTCTTTTGTGTTTCTTCCATTTGCGAATAATCGCACCAACTGTTGTCACCTTCTCACCAAGCTGCTTGGCAATGGTCTTGTAGCCCATTCCAGCCTTGTGTAGGTCTACAATCTTGTCCCTGACATCCTTGGAGAGCTCTTTGGTCTTGGCCATGGTGGAGAGTTTGGAATCTGATTGATTGATTGCTTCTGTGAACAGGTGTCTTTTATACAGGTAACAAGCTGAGATTAGGAGCACTCCCTTTAAGAGTATGCTCCTAATCTCAGCTCGTTACCTGTATTAAAAGACACCTGAGAGCCAGACATATTTCTGATTGAGAGGGGGTCAGATACTTATTTCCCTCATTAAAATACAAATCAATTTATAACATTTTTGACATGCGTTTTTCTGGATTTTATTGTTGTTGTTCTTCTCTCACTGTTCAAATAAACCTACCATTAAAATTATAGACTCCTCATTTCTTTGTCAGTGGGCAAACGTACAAAATCAGCAGGGGATCAAATACTTTTTTCCCTCACTGTATATGAATTCAAAATGACAAACACGCCAGCAAATGACACTTTCTTAACTGGACGCACACATTCTGCGTTGCACTGCCGCATATGAGTTTAAAATGGGGTGCAATTGATTTGTCGAAAACTTGTTTAATCAATCATACTGAAGGATAGGTTTATGCAGAATATATAGATGGTTTCAAACTATTGAACAAGCCCCATGCCAACTCATGCATTATTGCTGCCCTGAGATGAGCATTTATGGGCAGCTTGGGCATTATAGATAGGCACAAGGTAGGAAGGCAGGTTGGCCAAATATCTTCTGTAGTATCGATATGTATATTTAGTTTTTACTTAGTATATGTATATTTGTTGTCCACATTTTATACAACTATTTACTCTGTTGATCTAAGGGTCATCAGCCTGAACACTTTCAATCTACATAATGTAAATATGTTTAATTGTACTCATTGTTTTTTCGGTAAAGTCACGTATGTAGAAATACAATAAAAAAAATTTTTGTTTTAATATAATTTTATTGTATTTCTACATACGTGACTTTACCGAAAAAAAAACAATGAGTAATTTTATGCAGTCACGAAAGATTTAATACTTTATTATGTTTAATTGTCTTCACTTTTTAAAGACATAGCCCTTGTTCCTCATAATCATCGTTAACTGCCAACAGCAGCTTGTCCTCATCGTGACCCCCAAGTCCTGTTTTGAAGTTTAACTGCATGAGACCTTGACTTTCGCGTTTTCCTTGGAATTTGCCCTGTACTGCACTGACAGTTGTTTGCGTTATCTTCACATTTTGTTTCACTCCTTTACATGCATAAAGACACCCTGTATTTGGGTGTCATTATGCATGAAGACACCCTGTATTTGGGTGTCATTATGCATCTCAAATGTGTTTTTTTGGTGTTATATTTGACTTCATTCTCATCACTGCCTTTTGCTACTGGTTTTTATCTTGCTTGTTTTATGTATGTATGTAAAATACATCCTGTTCTTAGTTTATTCAGTGCTTTAGTCCATGAAACTTCTAATGATGCATGTCAAAAAAGTACTGTTTTGTCTTTCAGGCTTAAGAAAGATGATCCTTTATTCAAGAAGCCGTTTGCGAAGAATCGCAACTGCAAACTTGTACCCAAAAGCTTTGCCGCACAGGAATATGACAGGTGAGTCCCCGGCTGAGAGAGACAGCTCTGTGCCTCTTCAAAACATACAATCGCGTTCCGTCACTTTGTGTGCAAGTGTGTGTATGATAATGCATTTGCTCGTGTTAAAATGTGTTTGGTTGTAAGGAAATTATGGTATGAAAGTGAGTGCACTGTGTTTTGCCTTCTAGTGACCCCACATTTCACTTACTGTTTAGTCATGCACACTAAGTGGTGATTGGCTTTGCTTGGTTTACCCAGCCTCAGTCATAGGGATGAGAAGAGAGGCTATAGGTACGAGGTTTTTAATGGTTTTAGCCTCCCTTAGGAACAGTTTAACAGGATGGCCATCGGAGATGCAGAGAACAGTCTATATAGACGAAAGGTGTGGTCTGTATCTTTTGGGTATACAGGGTGCTTAAAAAAAATGTTAATACTTGCATGGGATTATTGTTTTAAATGGAAAAAGGACGGATAATACACTGTAACATGATAACAAATGTCATGTTAATAGCTTCAAAAAGTCAAAAGAGTCTCCACTGATTCGTCATCATTGTCAACGCGTGCCTGGAATTTTTTCCAGGTGGTCTCCAGAGCCTGGAGGCAGCAGCACATGTCACGTGGTCTTGTTGCAAATTCTCAGAAGTGTTAATATTTTTATGTAGCACCCTGTATTATGAGTTAGCACAATACGGACATGATTTGTGTGCATTTGCCGGTGCATACTAGCCATTTTCATATGGTTTGAAGCTTTCATGACTGCAGGAATCCATACTCTTTGGTTCTTTCGGTAAAGTCACGTAGGTATAAAATAAAATAAATCACGACGTTTCGGGCGCAACACAAGCGTCCATCATCAGGTGGGAAAGCATGGTCTGCTGCTGAGGCAGACTGTTTTTATTAAAAGGTTTGAAATGGGTGTAGCCTAAGGGTCATAAAGAAGTGGCCGGGGCTAGTGATGTTAATGTGAGAAATTAGCATGCCGGGACTAGTGATGTTAATGTGAGAAATAGCATGCTAATTATTTTATTATTTCCCTTCTACGTGACTTTACCAAAAGAACCAATAATATGAATCCCTGCAGTCACGAAAGCTTTAAATCGAAAAAGAGTCATCTCAAATGGCTAATGTTATGATTCCCTACATGGTTAAGTGTGGACAATTGTGAGTCTAAACTATATTTAAGCAGCATAACATATAGGGCTTGTCGAATACATATTTTGTCAGAAATGCATCATGCTCAATCACACTTGGGAGATAGTATTTTTTATGATTCTTCATGTGTCAAATGGCATTGTTTGCTACAACAGGCTTAGCAGCTTTATCGTGTTTTTTTTCTTATCTGTGTATGTGTTTTGTACATATGTAAATATGTATAAGTATATATGCTTTTTTTTGTCTAAGATATGTGAGTTTTGCACGTACGATTTGTCTCATATCCCGTATTTTGCATGACTCGTGTTCCTGTGTCATCTACAGGGAGGAGGCCAAGCATCACCGCACACAGTTGCTTGCTATGGATGCCGTATCCTTCCACACTTCTCTTGCATTTGCCCCAGCATGAATTCACAGGGCCAAGCCACCAATTGACTCAGACTTAATCATCTAGCTCCAGGCCGGTTTGTTAATTTCCAATGAACATTATGAGACAACTCTACTTCCTATCCCCGCTTAGCCAAGGAGATGGCACCATTACAGAGTAAAATTAAATGTGAGAATGGTTGAATGGCTGAACAATTAATAGGTAAACACATTGGTTTCAAATACTTGAATAATTTAGAAACTAAAGCATGTTTTTGTAACTTGGGCCAATTAGTTTTCAAATAAGGTGGTGACATCACTGACCCCTTTCAACGGTGCTGGTTCTCTTGCTGAACAAAGCTGGTGTGGTTTGGTGCCAGCTTATGTTGAAGACATGACTGTTTTCAAAATCACGGAGACACAAGCCTCCTTTTGGCTTCAGACTGAGCCTCAGTGCATAAACAGATGACTTTTGACACAAGGCTTTAGTCCTGTATTTTGGTTTGTAAGCCAACTCCATTCCCTATTTTCCAGATTCTCCTTAAAAACCCAACATTAAAAATGTGAAAAATAAGTGTAGCTATATTATCGATAAAATAATGTTCCTGCATAAGAGGAGTGTTTTCATGTGTGTTTCCTACTCAAAAGAGTTAAAGAAACTCATTGGGCTGCCACATAATAACAAAAAAAGGTATCATTACATGTACATGTTATTCTACTTAATTTTCATACTTAGAATAAGTTAGTAACTTGCAATAGGGTAATCACTATAGCACGAGCCTGAATCAACACTTGGGCCTAAAGTAGTTGAACGTGGCCTTTTCAACGCGTTCATGGAGGTGGCGACTGTTGCTGCTTTTGCGATATTGTATGGTGCACACATCTGCCCGTGTTATCCATGACTTTCCACAAAGTTTTCACGACACAAGAAATTTGTCAACGACTACTTGCTCTACTACGGCGGGAAGAGGGAGGATTTCAAACGGGTCAGGTGTGTATTTGTTTTAATTGTTTGAGTAGTGTTGGTGGATTCATTGGAATGTGATGCTATAACAGCCATGAACAGCATGCAAAGGTGCGCTGACAAACAACAGGAAGACACAGCTCCCATCATGCTTTTGTATGCAATTCATGTGACTACCAAATTGCATGTACAGTGTTCAGCCTGTTCAAGACCACAAATTTTGAAGATCTGAAAATCCGTTGCAGTATATTGCTCAGATCGCCAACTCAAAAGAGTTCAAAGTGTGGCCGTTCCTTCAGGCAGCAGTAAAACAAAGTGACAACTGTACACTGGTTGTGTCCTTTTTAGGGTTTATAAATATAGCTGTATGTAACTTCTCATTCTGTTTTATTCATTACATTCATCCCTTCTTGTCCAATTTCCCCCCTGTCATGTAACATTTGTCAATGAAGCCTTTATATTCTGTACACATTCTGTAAATATTTTTCATGGTTTCTAAATACGACTGTACTGATGATTTGATGTAAGTTGTGTTACGTTTGGAGGAAGGGTGTATTGATTTACGTTGGTCTGTGTGTGATCGTGCATGTGATGGGTGCAGTGATCGAGACAAGACGGACATGGATGTCATCCGGGAGAATCATCGCTTCCTGTGGGAAGAGGAGGATGAGAGAAACATGACCTGGTAACACTGCTTGCCCTACTTCCACGTTTTTTTTACGGCACATGCTGCCCAAACTCAGAACCTGATGTTGCAAAAATCCATGACAATTAGTGGGAAATAATGTCCTCAAACGGATGTATTTCTCCTCAGTGGAATCATTCACGCTTTAGCCGGAAATGGCTTCTGTCCAGCGAGAGTGCCTTGAGGTGACGAGCAGCAACAGCAGTAGCAGGAGGGGGGAAGCGGAGGGACAGGGTGAGGAAGAGAGCTCGATTTGGCAGGTTGGTGGTGCTTGCTTGAGTCAAAGAGATATTCGTTTACATCAGAAGCTGAGAAAGTTTTTACGTCTATTCTGCTGCTCTGTGTTGGAAACCAGGCGTTAGTATGAAAATGGAGACCCTCTATAATTCCAACCTGACTGCTGCAGTCTTGGTCCCTTCTATGGTGAACAACTCCTTGAGTAGAAACACTTTGAGTCAATAGCTGAGAAGCCTTTTTCTGGTATATATTTTCAGAAATTTACGGGCTAAAACTTTTCCCCATGATGTAAATTACGTGCTGTTATATTCGACGGTAAAACCCCTGCTATCCATGGCACTATTATCTCGTTAAACAAATTATACTGGGTAACCCGACATAAGAAGAGACATCATTATGGCAAAAGCCATTCTTGTAGTCATCGTTTAGGAAACGTTCCTTTCGGTCTTCAGTAACTAGAGTTAACATTTTCTCCAGATCTTGTTTCAGGTGTGCTCTTGGCTGTGCTACCTGTGATTTTGCAAAAGATGTTTGACTGCACCTCATTCCAAGTTAATTTCAGTGTCTCATTTTACTTGGGATTTTTAAACGATTAACCACTGCCAAGCTTCTACTGTGACACACCTGGATTCCTGGAAAGTGACTGTGTAAAAATGATGCCACGCTTTGTAATTTGCCTATTTTAGTGGAAATTTACAAGATCTGGCAGTCACACTGAGTTTAAAGCTACTATATTACTTAATGTCAGAACAAATGAAAACTACATCCAACTTTATTATTTTAATACCCTTGGCTAATTATATCAAAACAATGCCCTTGGCAAAAATTCCCACCATGGTTCGATGCACGTGCATCCTTTCTGTGCGTGAGAGTCACGTGGATAATAAAGCCATTAGTACGCATGCCCTTGGAAACACTCAACTGCAGTTTAAAACTGCTGTTCTCTCCAAACCGATCTCTCATTCTGAAGTCTTTAATAGTGGCTCTGACCAATCACAACGCACATTTCATGCTCAACCGGTGGCAGTTGGGCCAAATGGCATGAGCACAGTGCAATTTAACCGAAATTACAATTTAGACAGATCGTTTAGGGGAGTTGCACTTGTTAGTGTGGGACGTGCATGCCCCTGCATGTATTTGTGTGTTTATTCAAAAGGGAAAAGAGGCTTGCCAAGAAGTACTATGACAAGATGTTCAAGGAGTACTGCATAGCTGATCTGAGCCGCTACAAAGAGAACAAGGTGAACATGTCATGCGTGAGCCTATCCCATGATACCAGCTTGGGCCTTGCCAGCAGCTGCCAGGCTGATGAAGCCAGTGTTGAATATATGAGCATCCTGATGGTGTAAGAAAAGTCACTGTACTGTAGTGATAAGTGAGATGGCACTTTATTATTTTCTCAGGCCAATTCTTTCATCCAAAGGAACATTTTATTCAACTCTGAAAGAAACATAAACAGACCAGGACAACATTTTATAAACGTTATTATTTTTTGTTCCTGGGAAGTGCAGAATGGTCAATGCATCGTTCTTGCAGTTTTGGATTGTAAATTATGTTGCTGACAATCCAGAGATGTATACAGGTTAATATCCTCCCCAGAGTGTAAAACATAAACAGGAATTTATATCTTGTTTAAATGATGAGAAACCCATTACAGCAGAAAGAAAATAGCACAGGCTCGAAAACCAAAACATTTATGTATTTCCTATACAGTATTTATTACAGTATTACTTGCAAATGTAAGTATTACATGCAATTATAAAATGTGTATTCTTATTAATGAGTTTAACAATGCTTCATTTTGTTGATGAACCATAACAGATTTTATGACACTGACCGTTTGTACAATTAAATATTGAGTTTTGAGATACGAACAAATCGACTTCCGAACGGGTCTCGAGAATGTAACCCGTTCGTAAGTCGACAACTGTCTGTCATCATTTTTGGCCTCTTCTATTTGAATGCTTTGCAATTGTTAATACATGGAATTGTACGCCGCAGGTGGGCATGCGCTGGAGAATAGAGAATGAGGTCATTTCTGGAAAGGGTACGTTTGTCACACCGCTTGCATCACAAAATGCAGTGTGGGACAGCATCCGCTTGCCCCAATAGGTGGAAGCAGGAGCGATCTTGGGCACGTAATGTATGCCCCACCTTGCATATGAATAGATGTTATGGTTCAAAAAAATGTGGTCCTGTCATAGACATTGCTTGAAAGTAATAATAACGAATAATCTTTAACGCGCATAGTTTTCGTTCGTGCTCCGAAGGAGAGAGGACGATTCAGCAGGGTAGGAAACCACAGACAGGCAGGAAAGCAGCGAGAACCATGGTCCTCTCTTGACCTGACAATTATTTTTAGTGTAATGTTTATTATGTTATTATGCGTATAACATCAAGCAATTTACACGAGATGGCTCTGCTTGTGTTTATTTCCATGGCTGTTCTGGCATGCATTCATTAGCTTTAAAATTGGTAAATATTTCTATACCTGTATAACTTATCTTTGGGTAAAATTTTATAATGATGTTATTGTTATTATTGTGTAGCTGAATGTCCGAGAAGAGCATCGATTACTAGGAACGTTATGGTTCATGCTTCCAATTCTTTCTCTGGGATTCCATGATTTGTGATTCAGGGTCACAATTCTATGTAGGATTCAATAATTTTCTCTTATTTACTCATTTTGATTGTCTCATTTATCTGACTCATTTGTGCTTTCTTGTTTATTACTTTAGTGTTAAAGGTACACATTTCTTATGAGAATTTTATAAAACGAATTGATGACTCACATGCCTATTCAACATTGAGTCGGTTTCTATTGAAAACAACAGTTAAAATTATAATTCCGCCTCTTAATCTCTTCAAGGAATTAACTATGATACTGTAGATGATACAGACCCTGTGACATTTGTTGTCTTTCCCTGCACCTAAGGTGCTACGTAAGGTGCGAAATACATTCAACTACACACAACATTTGTAGGAAAAGTGTATTTCGTGCCCATTGCAAAGCACAAATTCAGAATATAAAAATGTTGCGCAATGTAACAACTCATTTCTTTGTTTAATTGTATGCGGAAGATGTGAAGAATTCATGGCAGAATGGTGTGAGCCCTTTGGAATGTCTGGAAAGAGTGTTGTGCTATGAAACCATTGTTCTTGTCATGAAGGAAGTAGGAGGTCCTGATGGTGGGGTCATTTGTAGGGTAGAGGAGAGCAAACACATGACTAAAACACTTGAGAGGTTGGTGACAAACATGAACATGATGTGATTCTATCCTTTGGGTCTTTCGGTAAAGTCAAGTAGATTGGTTAAAAAAATAAAAATTACGACGTTTCGATCGCAACACAAGGGATCGTGTTGCGATCGAAACGTTGTAGTTTTTGTTCTTTTATTATTTTTTGAACCTATCTACTTGACTTTACCGAAAAGCCCAAAGAATATGAATTCCTGCAGTTACAAAAGCTTTAAGTCAAGATGATGTGATTCTACCATTGCAGACCTTGGACGTTGCATTAGTTGTAAAATTTGCCAGACAATTTTACAACTAATGCATCCTGATCTTGTCATGAATACACAGGTTTCGTTTGTATCCCGTTAACATAAAATACATTGTTTTGTTATTGTTTGGCAATAGCATTAATCTGATTAGTGCATGTCAAAAGCAGTATATGTTTTAAGTGACAATGGTAGTTAACTAAATTTGTTACGAGTACATTTTCACGACGGCAGTATTTTTCTTATTGATGGACTAAAGACTAGTAAAATCGACACCACCAATCGTGATCTCCACTCGCACTGGTTCTTGCGTGCGTGTTTACAACGCACGGCCACGGAGGAGCGGAAAGGAGGAATTGAAAGAGGAACCGTGCTTTGTATTGCTTCCTGGCGCTCGCGTTATGTCGAGAGGTTGTTTGGGGGAAGGGGTGATTCACGGGAAGAGAATCTCTTTGCTTGGGTCTTCATCAAATACGCATCCGAGGTGGTCGGATAATGATATGCTGGATTGTATTTCAAAAGCACGTTATGCCCAACCCGGGGTTGGCAACCTGTGGCGCTGGAGTTGGATGTGGCTCTTTAAGGACTGCTTCGTGCAGCTATTTATTCAGGACCACCGTCGCGTGTTCACCACGAGCGTTAAGGCTCGTGAAATATTGCGGTTTTTTTTACCGAATTCGAAAAAAATGACACTTGTTTTGTTTGCCGATCCCTGGCTCCAACTGACTTCCAAAAGACATCGTGCGCTCTCTGCTGGGAAAATATTGTAATTGCAAGTAAAATCCCTCCACAATGTTGCTTCCACTCAATGCACACGGTGTCAAACACTTGGGGAGTGTTGTCGCCGGATGGTTTATTTACATGAGTGTGCTGTGTCATTTGAAAATAGAGTTACCCATAGCATGGGTAATGTTAAGTGCTGACTGAGTAAACGTGCTGTTGATTGGCCATGTTTGAACACTGGTGTTGTTCTTTCATGAGACAGGCATGACGGTGATTAATTACGAGGGACAATTATCGCTTACAACTTTCAGTCTGTCAATATTAAATACAACTCATATGTTTTGCTTTTCCTTCCATGCAACTTGTAGGTAATAATTACGGATTATTTTTTATATAAATCCCGAGCCGCCGTGTTTTAGTTCAGTGAGTTACATGGTGAGTTGTGGTGTTGCAGATAAGTCCACCACCGCCCTCAACACTTGTGTCCATAGTTGGGTCGAAATGTGAATTATTTAGTCTGTCAGAGGCTTCAGGGTAGTCTTTGTCCTCTAATATTCTAGACACTTGCGGAAAACCTTATTTCTTTCACTTAATATCTATACATACCAGATACGTTTTCATGCACAGTTAAAGTTCCTCTTGCACACAACTGTTATACTAATGTGTAACTTCTGTCCAGTAATTTAAAACCTTTAACCAGGAAACTTCTCTCAAGTCTTCAAGATGAGTCAGGATTTTCGTGTTAGGGTTGTTAAGCCAATTTAACTTTCTTTTATTTTCATTGTGGGAGCAATTATCCTCGGTCGCCAACTTGCATGAGGAGCAAACACTGAAATCCCACACAGATTTGTCAGAAGCCTGCCTGCTGCACTGCCCCATGTGTGTCCCTCGTTGCCCAGCAGGGTGTGTGTCTTGCACATAATGGTGAGGTCCACCAACATTAGTCCCCACATGACAGTGGGTAACGCTATGCCTAGCTTCATTTCTCAACTCTATTTTGTATCCTGGAAGCCAGTACAATGACAATGCAAACACCAAAGCATGAATAGTTAAGCAGTTGTATATCTTTGGGACCCTTTTGTCAGTATCAAGATATTGAATAAGGCATATCAGAAATAACAATTCATGGATTCAAATCCATTCTGATACGTGCATCAAATCATGGTTGGCTACGTACGGTGCGAAAGAAGTTCAAAGTACATACATGGTTGTAAGAATTTATTATTCAAAAATCATGAAAATTATATACAAAACTATTTTATGTTTAGGATAATGGAGTAAACGAGAGACATGAAATAAGAGAGTACCAGTCGGTTGAAAGTGAATGAATGCTGGAGTTAAAATTCGCGTCCCTAAATCGTGACAATTCCTCGAATCAACGGGAAGTGAATCATTGCTTGCCTAGAAGCCAATTTTCCTGTTTTGCCAGTTTTGTCTTATAATATAATCAGCTCATTGCAGTCACATGGTCATATTAATCACGATTCGGAATACACCACTTTAGTTTTGTTAATGGAGCTTGCATACGTTCTACCTAATGATTTTATCTCTGTTGTATTTGCAACATTGACTTTGCTTTTCACATCTTTGGTGTGTTTGGTTTGTCTGTAACAAGAAACACACACACAGTAGATCCAGGAACAAATTCTGCCATGTGTTTGACGGCATTTAGGTGGGGTAGATTCACATTACCCCCCCCCGCCCCCATAATTTTGGTGTTGAGATGATGGATAATTATTGACTTAAAGCTTTCGTGACTGCAGGAATTCATTTTCTTTGGCTCTTTCGGGTAAGCCACGTAGATAGAAAAATAAAAATATCACAACGTTTTCATCGCAACACAAGCAATCGTCATCAGGTGAAAAAATATAGCGGGAGAGCTGCTGAGGCAGGAACACATATACGTTTTACTGCCCTAGCAGCTCTCCATGTATGTTTTCCTGGCACAGCAGCTCTCCCGCTATATTTGTTCACCTGATGACGATTGCTTGTGTTGCGATGGAGACATCGTGGTATTTGTATTATTTTCTATCTACGTGGCTTTTCCGAAAGACCCAAAGAATATGATGGATAATATCCATAATGTTTTCTTGGGGTTGATCACGTAAATATAAATGTGTCGATAAACCCGCCACAACCCGACACAGCCAATTAGTAAGGTTTGTCACGTACACAGAACGTGCCGGGTTTAACGGCACGTTCTGTTTACATTTCGGGTGGTGGCGGGTTTTACGACACATTTATATTGACGCGATCTAACCCCCAAAAAAACCTCTTATGGATACCCTCTTATGGATAATATTGGTCGCGAAAGTCTCCGTGTTAAAGTGATGGGTAATATAACGACGCAACTACTCTTTCTCACAGAGTCAAACTAGCTCATGAGCGCGTGTCTGTGTTAGGGTCCACCCGAGTCGTGGCGGCACCGGTCGTTGTGGTACCGGTCGTCGTTGTGGCACCGGTCGTTGTTGTGGCACCGCAGGGGGCGTGGCAACAGTCGTTGTGCCCCCCCCCCACTCGCTTCTGCCGTTACACAAACAGCTGGTGTGTGCATAATGCAGCATTCACTAATGAGAGAGATTAATTCTGATGTTCTTTTTCCTTTCAAACCCAGGGTTTAATTATTGTTTGCAGAGCCTTGGCTAAAGGCATCGGGGGCTTTACCAACTAATAGGCTTAATGATGGGGAGATTAGCTATCTTGCTCCGGTATGTGTGTTTGAGCGTGAAGTGTTGTTTGTGTAAGCTGAGGATTACGGCTTTTGTTTTCACTGAAGGATTTCTTTAGCTGCTGGGCAGCCCCTTCTGAGATTCTGACGCTTATTGAATTAAGCAGGAGGCTGATGGCAGTCGTGTGATGACATTTCTTGGGAGCCATTTCTGCAAAGGCCTGTTTCAAGGCCTCTGCTCTTGAGTTCCTCTGAAGGTCAAGAACTGCCCCCCTTCGTTCTTGAGTGCATGTATGTTGAAGTTCTTTCGCACCGTACGTTGCTCACCCTGCTAATCTGAGGTGCGGGGGAAGGACAGCCCATTGATACTTTTCAATGATGAGTCAAACACTGACTGATTGGATGTCATTGGCTGGGAATGCCACTTGCTGTTCAAGCTACATTTTTGTTTCTCAATAACGAACTGAAAAACGTCACAAGATTGTACGATGGCCCCTGATTCGTGTAGAATTGCGTTTACGCAATGACATATTAAAGTTCACAATAATAATTATAGTTGTAATGCAATTGATACGGAGTGCATAGCGATTATATGACGTGATCTTTCTCTGACAACATCTGCATTATAAGCCTTATAAACTCTAAAATGGCAAAGATTGGAATACTTGTGGCAGGGTTATGTTTAGTAAATTTCAGTTCAGTAACTTCTCCGCAATCTTTATTCATACTTGAAGTACATTTAAGTACAAAAACAAACAATAACAATGGTTAATACACTCAGAGTTATGAAAAAGGAAAACTGATCAAATATTATCTTAACTGCTTTTAATATGGCCATTTTAACAGTTATACATATAAAAACAAATGTTGTGACTACAGAAAATAAAGGGTACATTTGAGAAAATGGAAATTCTGTTTCCAGTGATGCTATTTCTTAAACACACCCCAGTGGAATTAGCCTTGGGCACATGCGTAGGTTGCATCAATATGAAACAACACCTTGTGGTATTACGAGGTGGCCAAAAAACAACAAGCGATGTCAAATTCGTAAAATGTCGGCATTTGCAATTATTTGCACGCACTTTACCGTTTAAAAAAGGGCTCTGCCAAAGCAGCAGCTGATGGTCGTGATTAATTTCAGCGTAACATTTAAGATGCTCGCACACGGGTGCCAGATATCTACCTCATTACTCCGAGGGCAAAAGAAAACACTCTCACGCCTCCTCTTGTTCCCGACTCTTTCAAAAGAAAGCCGCTACGCAAATATAAATAGCGTTAAACAAAAATGCAGTCAAACCAGAAACGTGAAAAATACTTCTATAATATGACTATACAGTGAAATAGATGCTTGATATAAGCACAGCTCTGATATAAGCTACACATGCTGACATACGAGTGGAGGGGTGGGGGGGGGCAAAAGGGGAAACTTGCGATACAAGCACACCACTTCAGATATAAGCACACATGGTCTTTCTCCCGAGGGATATGCCTTTATCCCATGTGTACTGTATGTCATGAGAAGGTACATGCACAGTTGCAGAGAATTCAGTCAAGTCAATTCACATAAAGATAACTCGATTACATTATAATCACTCGTACCGGTCACGCTCGCACTTGATCAATATCCACAATTTTGTTTCTTTAAATAAGGTAAAAATATTTCCATACTCAAACAAATGGCTATTGATGTGCAATATTTAATATATGGGGCTTAATCGATTTTTCAAGTTAAAGAAAAAGTTAAAAGTGCAGACCTGCAATTATTCGTCCTTTATCACGAGTGCGTGTAAATCATCAGTCCAGGTTAAATTTTGTGATTCATGCGATAGCTTTGGGAGTAGCGCGACTGATACTGTGGAGTCCCCCGGAGAGCAGGCGTAGAACGATGCAGCCGTTCGCGATGCGGTCCACTGTGTGGTTCACCGCACCGTGGGGGGTCGTCTTCAATGTCCCACTCATGGAAGAGGTGCCAGCAGCAGCAGCAGCAGGGAGCAGGGAGCAGTCGCTGCTCTGAAGCGGGTCGATAGAGCCACCGCGGTTTTCCTGGCAGAACAAAGCCTTGCAGAGCAGCAGGGGGGGGGACCTTCACCGAGGCTTTTATGAGGAACCTCGGGAGAACTCCACGGGAGCGTTCGCCAGCGGTCTTCACTTGACTCCGCTTCACCCAAATGTCTCGTGCGGCGATCCCAGATTGGTTTCGGGGATCTCAGGCGGAGGGTCGAGCAGGGCTTGGTGTCACGGGCGAGGTCTTGCGCTTCCTCGGATTTTTCCCAGTTTGATGTTGCGGCATCCCACCAGAGGTTTACTGCCATGATGTTGGCCACAATGGGTAGCCACTCGTTGCTGTGGTTAATGAAACATTGAGTAATCACTAGAACGGTAAATATTTTTGTCATGCTTGTTCATGTCAGGTTTGTGTTTTGGGGGTATTATCCAACATGGGAAAGTAGAGTTTGGGCAGAAAATCTGATTGTGGAAATGGTGTTTTGTTCCTGGCATATAGTTTATTAACAGCCTCTCACTTTTCTTATCTCATGTGAATTCGGCGTGGCAGTGTCCCCAGTACAAGCGGAAAACATAACAGCGGTGAACAATGCAAGGAAACGCGTCACGAAAATGTGATCTCGTTTGCTGTGAAAACTGTCATAATTTATAATGGAATGGAATTTGCAGAGGCAAAGACCCTTTTAATGGTACTAAGCCAGAAACTTCTGGCATCCTGGGTTCAAATTGTGGGTGGGATAAGCAATCGTTTGGATTATCTTTTAAAGAAACAATGTTTTTTGCAACATGTAATTATTAACGATGTCACTCATTATATTAAAAGAATCCTCAATCACTGGTGGTTATACTTCAATACAATTCAGAAAGCACAAACAATTAAGGTCCTGATTGCCATTAAGCTAGAAGTCAAAACTGATCCCACTTGCATGGAGTTCATGGTCCCATTCCCTCGGACCTCTGTGCAGAGTTCACACTCTTGTATTGTGCAGTGAGTTGGTCTCGTAATGACTGTGGCGACTGTTGTGTTCCAGCCAAACAGCCCAAACCTCAAATTTGAAAATTCAAAAGCACCTCTGCTCAAAGTAGCAATTATATTGTGCTGATTTATGTTGGTGGCCATAACTCAGTGGTGGGAACAACTCTCCCCAGACGACAACCTCTTTTGAGTTATCATTTCTACCTGTTTCATCAATCTAAGATGGGTGATTGGTTGAGTTAATCACTGACCGAGCCAATATTCTGATCGTGAGTCTGATAGTCATATTCCTTAACCGGAACACCACGTTTAAAAAAATACCCAAAACTATTGGGTGACCTGTCGTTCCTCGCTGTTTGCTTCGTCATCATATCATCGTCTACGATGTGCCTCTGACATTTCCAGGGCAGTTTGAGTGTGGAAACAAGCGCTGCCAGGAGTCGGAGGGCCTGAGAAGCTGGGAGGTGAACTTTGGTTACGTGGAGGCTGCCGAGAAAAAGAACGCCCTCGTCAAGCTGAGTACGCGTTTCCACGCAGCTGAATATTATTTACAACTCACAACATACTCTGACAGCCTTACTTCTACCACAGCACATACATACATACACACATTCACTCACCACTGCAGTGCCCGTAGTATGGTAATGCGATTCTCCTGGTGAGCGTAAAATTGCACCACTGGTGTGGTCTTTAATGTACTGCACTACAATCTCATCATTCAAGATTCCACTTAGAAACATGTTCGTGGTGTTGTTAACCCAGCATCAGCCACCCAGCTCACCTTAAAATAAATACCTGGTGCTGTGTGCACTGATCATTACTGGATGGATGCTTGTGGCTGACTGTGATGCCAGTCTTAATGGTTGCTTGTTTAAACAAATATTCCTGCACTAAACAGATAATATATGGGTTCGCTTGCTCTAGTGTGATCTTGAAGGTGACATAAGTCACTACGAGGCTCTGCACCTTACAGTCAAGGTAATTTAGGTCCGTGTAATATTGTGCTTGTTAAAAGTTGTGGTTAGCGGTCCAGTACATATCATTGGGTGAGTGAAGTGCTACTCAACGGAAAGGGCCTCTGACACGTGCTTGCCGTGGGCTGTATTAGAAGGCCACAGGAAGCTTATGAGCTTGACAGAGGTCATCACTGCCACTGACATGACCTTGTCGTAGCACGTTCAGCGCTTGATGCAGAGGTCCCCCACTCGATTCCAACGGCCACCCTGGGTAATAGTGCGGGTGTAATAGCTAGAAATACACGCCGCCTTAAGTCCCATTGGACGATAATGATCCCGTGACGTCATTTGCAAGAGCAGGCCATCGTGTGATGACGTCTTGATCCACATTTGCCAACTTAAAAACATTACCCACATATTACTCATTTGGAATATACATAGCACTGATCGTCCCCTACTGTGAAACACGTGGCTGGGCTTTCCTGTAAAAGAAGTGTCATGAGACTCGGCGAGGCTTCCCTTGCTAAACGAGTGTCATACATATACTTGAGCCCTGCTCTCCCCACTAGTTTGGGACCAAAATGGTTGTAATTGTCAACGTGTTTCATATGTTTTTCACATTCTTGGTTCTTTCGGTAAAGTCACGTAGAAAGGAAACAAAATAATAATTGATTGTTCACGCTTATGGTGGCTTTCAGACCGCATCCATTATTTTCGTCTCCCCCCTCCTTTTTTCCGAACATAGATGGGCTCGTACATCTGAATAACTGCCAAATCGCTTTCCTTGCTGTGGTTTTCACACCTGATGATGATTGCTTGTGTTGTAGTCGAAACGTCGTGATAATTTTATTGTTTTATATTTTTATTATTTTATTGTTTCCCTTCTACGTGACTTTACCGAAAGAACCAAGAATATGAATCCCTGCAGTCATGAAAGCTTTAAATCATGTTTTTCACAGTTCACTTTAACGGGGGTTTGTGGGATTTTCAAAGCAGCTAAACAGGTTAACACCCCCTGATGTGATTTTAGTACAGCCAGTTAAATGAAGCCTGATAGAGATGGACTGAAAAACTTAGATCTAAACAGGACACACTCATGTCTCTTCGGGCCGTTCTTGGCATCATTTCTGTTTTGAGTGTCCATACATGTCTATTGATGTGTGTATTTTCAGGACTCTGCCCAGAGTGTTCCAACAAACTCAATTATCATCACAAGTGAGTGCCAAATGTCAGCCTCCTGCAAGCACCATACTGGTTTGATAAACACACATGGGCTTATTTTGCCCTTGCTCTCAGAGTTAGTATATTAACATGTCCTGCCAGCTAGCTTTATCCCATTTAATGTAGACGTTACCAAAAAAACACGTAAACCTTAGACGTAGTCTGTGTGATATGTAATTTTTGTTACCCAAGGCTTTGGGGGAGGGGGGGGGGGCATTGCTTAGCATTGCTGGTGTATTCTACGTCAGACTTGTTGCAAATATGAAGTCATCCCTGTAAATGTGCTCGCCGCACATTCTTGTGTTCATGAGAAACACTTACTGTCGTTTTTGGCAACACTTAATTATTCGTCACAAAGCCTGAAATGGCACAGGTACACGCACGCGTTGTCTTTCTTGTAACATAATCATTGCTGTGTACATCACCGCCTGTTTGCGTCACTTTTTAACTTCTTACACTTCATACTTGGGGAAGTCTTCATCCAGCAGTGAATTGATCATGACTGATCAGGATTCTGACAGTGAGGAAAGTAAGTGTTTAAGAAGTCCGTTGTACGTAGAGTGAAACAGCACTGCACGCTAGATCCATTCTGCAATGGTAAAGCCACGCCGTGTCTCATTAAAAGAGCCAGAAGTTACATCATAGAGCTTTACTTGAGTGGTCTATAGGGGGGTTTCTCTAAGTTAATCAACCGTGCTTGTCAGATTTTGGGGTTCTATCCTAGCATACGATGGCAATACGTTCAGGAGCTCTAAATGCCACTGTTGATGTCTGCTAGCCACGAGAGGGCTTCAGGAGAGATGTGTAGTTTTGCTATTCCTCTATTGAAGGAGTGTAGACTCCAGTGCTTGACAATATTGTCCGTAGTTTGAGTTGCATGGCTACAATCGTACTGTGCCTTCCTTGTCTTTAAGTTTCCATTCATGAGATGTACCGTTAATGGTTTCACCAGTGTCTTCGAGGAATGCCAATGCTAGGATAAGGTTCGATGTTTGCGTCTCGAATGAGGAGGTGTTTATCCTTGACATCCGCGTTGTTCCACTCTGTTTGGCAGCGTTCTTCTGGGTATGGGTGAGATTCTAGAATGGTTACTGCAGCGTGATCCCAGAAGGGGGAGTGGGACTTGATTCTGTGATGAGCATTGTAGAGGTCTTGCTTTATGGGTAGGTGGTTGCTATTTGTAAGAATGAGTAAGTGGTTTGTTCACTGCATGTCTGAAATATCAAGGTACACAATGGAGCTGAACTAAATTGAGCAGAAAACCCATTTGCTGTGGATTTATATGCTATCTTTCGTGATCAACTTCCCACATGTATTTTTGGTTTGAGGCCAAGAATTCATACCCAAGCACTCAGTGGTGTTCTCAGTGTTTTGGTTTTGGTAATGAGAGCAGTCGCTTCATGATTCATCCATCCGACAGTCTTTTGTAAGTTATAACTGGACATTGGTGTCACCACACATTTAAAATGTTGATTGAAATTCGTAAAAATAAAAGCAAGCAGTATGTAATTTAACTTCGAAGGGCTGTTATAATGAGAGTGTACTTTCTCTTCTCTTTGTGTGGTCCAGCCTGGTAAGAATGCTGATGTCAGCTCTGAGACATGCAGGGACTCCTCTACTTACGAACTTTCAGAGTTACGAACAAACCTGTCCATATGTCCAGTTGCCTGTTAGGACCTAGAGTTGTAAGTTCAACCACCGGGCAATAGATGGTGGTGGTGACATCTACATCTGCAGAACATGAAGAACCAGTGGCATCTACATCTACAAGAGATTATACAACGTTTAAAGCCATGCCCCGTGTTTAGTGTACATGCCATACAACATGTTTAGAATCGACAGAAGTAAAGTTGGACTTCTTCTTTGGTTCTTTCGGTAAAGTCACGTAGAATGAGAATAAAATAATAAATTGATAAAATAAAATAACGCAATAATATTCTCACGACGTTTCGGCCACAACACAAGCGGCCTTCATCAGGTGAAGGGACGAGACTGTCTGGTAGGACAGCGCTGGAGTGAAAGAGCCACGTTCAGATCACGGCCTTTAAGCTGTGTGAGAGGAACAAAGCGCCCTCAACTTTAGCACCGAAAGAACCAAAGAAGATCAATCATTGCAGTCACGAAAGCTTTAAATCGAAAGTTGGACTTATGAACAAATCGACTTTCGAACAGACCTCTGGAACCTAACTCGTTCGTAAGTAGAGGAGTCCTTGTACTCCCTTGTTGATGGGCATTGCACCCCCTAGTGTTCACTGACCAATACAAATGTGCTTCCTTAAAACAGATTTAATGAGACTTTAAAACGTTCCATAAAAACACAGGATTGCTTAACAGACACTTATACAAGTATTTAATCTGCTATTAAGTGCCTATTAAACACTCTGACACAATGTGCAAGGGTATGGCATGGCATACAATATTGTACTTTCATTCTCAAATTTTTTTTAAAAAATAACTGTCAATCACCTTATCAAGAACTAAATGCCCATTGGGGTTCTTTTACAGAAATAAATGAATGTGTTACTTAATAATCCATTGGCAACTTGTTACCTCAGCTCTCCATTTACAAGGTCATTAACAAAAAACAACCCCCACAATAACTAAAAAGTGCAAATAAACAAGTGAAGAGATAAATGTTTTGAATTATAATGAGAAACAGAATAAGCTGGATGAGCGAACACATGTAGGTTAATGATGGCATTCAAACTGGGAGGTCAGTGAGTGGGCTTGGCAGGGCACGTGGCAGGGATGATGGTTGGTGGTTAGAAATGGCGGAGTTGGTGCCGAGTTTGTGTGTACGTACGATAGTTTTTATTATTGCATTAATATATATGCGCGTCCACTTGTGTATGTCTTGTGGGAAGCGGTGGCGTGGTGATTAGCAGACTGGTACGAACCTGACAACCCAAATTCGATTCCCATTTATGGCCAACACCGGTGACGATTATTTAACTGGTCCTGGGCCAGTTTGTCGACTCGGCCTCAAATGAGTGCTTGGTGCGGTGTGTAAAACATCGCCACTAGGGAGACAAAGACGGCCGGGCGTAGTGCTGGCCACCCACCGCCTCGTGTGCCGTGCCGGCCTTCATAGCTGCCATCTAACAACACTTGCCCCAAGAGACTATTGAGGCTTAATGGGATTTCTTGTCTGTCGTCATTTAGTGCTTTTGCATTTGTTGTCAATTAATTTTTGTATTTGGCACGGTACATAAAATACAGAAATTAATATCTGGTACAAAACACGTATTACCGAAGCTATCAACACAAGGTGTGTACCGGATTACTTGCACTTGTGGCAAATGCTATGTTGGGCAAACAGGACGAATGATCAGCACGAGGCAAAAATAACAACAAATAAATATTAAATACTCCCAAATACAACTGTCAGAAGTGGCAGAACACGCGTGCCAATAAGGACACTCAGTTGATTTTAATAATGTAAAAGTTCTGTGCAAAACTAGTTACTTCTAGCCAAGACTAATTACAGAATCTATCGAAATTGAGAGAAATAAAAATATTAACCGTTCAGATAGCTATAGACTTGGTGCTGCTTGGAAGCGAATCATCAAATAAAACATTGTTTAAATGCATGCCTATACAGGTCACCATACTTCAATAGGGATTACTGTGGGTACGGCTATTTTAGAACACACAATCGACAGTCAGTACAAGAACAATGGGCTTGCATAATGTGAATGCATAATGTACGCTGATTACCATATAAATAACACAAACGGCAATGGATACCCATAGTCATTTATATGCATTCATTAATCCTCCCCTCCCACTTCGAGCAAGAAGAGCGCACAAGTATTGTCATCACATCTACCCCTCTATTTAAGGAACGAAACAGGAAGCTAGTTGTAATTACTGGCGAAACGTCGTACTCAGATTGTACATGTTGTAGCTTTGCTCTCCAACATACCGGTGTGCTGTACTAGTGACGAATTGGCACGTTCTGTTTACGTGACAACCCTTCTAAATTGGCTGTGTTGGGTGGTGGCGGGTTTAACAACACTTTTATGTATTTATGCGATCTAACCCCAAAAAACTGTATTATGGATGTTTAATGCATGTTTATGTGTTCCACGTGTAGATACGTTTCTGTGTGTGTGCGTGTGCGCTTGCGTTGGCAGAAAGAGAGAGGTGAAGAGGAAAAGAAAGCAAGAAAAGGAGGAGGAGCGGAGGATTCGTAAGGAGAAGCGGCGTCGTTCCCACCACGGAGAGGGGACTCTGTCAGACACCGTGGATGATGAGGAGGAGGGTGAGTTCCCAAACACTTGTGACTTGCTAACTCTCTAGAACATTCACAACAACAACAGTTGCCATTCGTCAAAAACAACAACAGCCGCCATTCGCCACAAACACACACACGCATTTATTCACAATGGCACATGTGGGAGCAGTCTTTCATTTTGGATAGCCCATTGATCCAGAAAATGTTAGGAGTTGTTGCTTGTTAAACACAGAGCTGTTGTGCAAATAAAACCAATCCAAACACACTCCTTCCAGATGCCGATATTGGCTCATTCAGCCTCAGGGAGGCATAGGCCAGCATCAGAATCCATTTGACAATGGTCTATTCGAGGAGGTATTTAATTGTATCATAACACCGTGCAATAAGTCCCATGTCGCCAACTCACCGTTGAATTAAAACACTTGTATATTGATGCAATCATCACAAAATATGTTCAATGATGAATGATTCTGATGAGTGCCATTTATACCCGCATTTCCATTCTTCAGGGTCTTCTTCGGATGAGAGCAGACAGCAGGTGGATGCAGTGGCAGAAGGTTAATATAACCGTCTTCATCCCTGTTGTATACGTACTATAATACTCTGTTTGAAAATGCAAACTATATTTGCTTCTCCATAATACTGGCATGATTAACAGCTTTGTGTTCTGACAATACTGGATCATTAACCAGCTGGAATTTACTTGACACTTTATGGCATGAGGGTGTTATCGTTTTTGTTAGATGATACAGTTACAAATATTTCTGCATAAGCATTAAACATGTCTTTTTGCTAACACTGTAATTCAGTAGTTTGAGTCATTGCCTTTTTAAACTGATGAGTTATCTTTATTGCACAGAAAACCTGTTGAATATATAGTTCTGCAGGGACATTTATATTGTATTGCATCTTCATTGCAAGTAATGTTTAAATGTGGGTTCTGTCAAACGAAATAAGCTCACAATGGCCTACGTTAAGAGTTTATATTTTTGTTGTGTCAGAATCATGAGCCAGTACCATTGAGGCCTTGGGTTGACAGTATTTGTAAGCTGCCTGACCTTCAGCCAGGTTTTTATGTGTACCATATTGATCATCCCGCCCACAAGGCTGCATTTGTTGTCTTCTGAACGTGAACACATGCCGTGCTGTGTACGTGGTGGCAGGGTCTGGAGCAAGCAAGGAGCCCAAGAAGCCCAAGGAGATGTCAGAGTCCGATTACTGGAAGGGTCCAGTGCAGGAGACCGAGGAGAAGTGCAGGTCTGTACAAATCTATACTCCCCCGTGACTCGTACACGCTATAGCATGCAGCGTCATCATCTGTACCCACGTGCCACATCTACATCCATCCTTATCTATCTCTACCCGTTTAGCCCATCTCTACCCATGTTCATCTATCTGTACTGGTATGACCGTGCATTGTTGGGAAGGTTACATTTCAACAATAATCACGCCTTTGATGGGTTTGAAAAGTAACTCCAAATAATCCTATGTTTGGTCTTTTAAAAGTGATTGAATCTCAATGATTACTTTCAATCATGGTCGCTTTTCAAGTTAACATTTTATTTAGTTTCCGTAACTTGGAGAGTGATTTCGCGAAACTGTACTACGACTGTAGGCTTCTGCGGCATAAACTCGATGGCAGCTTTCCTAGCATTAACCCGTGGAATCACGCGTGACAAGTATGTTGTAATGTAATACGTTTGTCATGAGCCGTGTCTCTACAACTCCTTCCTGTTTTTTCGAGTGGCTATCGCAAGGTGCAACGTTGTAACGGATCGCGTGTCCGGTTGTTTGTTTCAGGGAGGATGAGTTTGAAGACTACTTTGAGGACATGTTCCTTTGAGAGGCGTCTGCGTCACCTCACACCGCGCTCGGCTGGTTTGCCGCACCACTTGCGGCGCCTTCCTCGCCACGTTCGACACAAACTCTACCACGCCACGTGTGGTGCACGCGGCGTGGTAGAGTCAAACTCATTTCACAGAATGACAAGGTGACGGATATGAACCTTAACAGCATTTCATTATACGGCTCGTGTGATGGTAGATTGGAGAAGAGAAACACAATTGTGAAAAATTATGGATGATATTGGTCGCGAGAGCCCTCCGTGTTAAACTGGTCAGTTTTGTTGTTGTTGATGTTATTGCTGTGTGGTCTAATTGGCACACTTTTCTTGAGGGGAGGTTGGATTGGCCTTTATATTAGCCTCCAGCTTCTTACGTGAGATGGGTTTCCCCTCGATGACACTCGGAGTGATGACTCCACCACTTAACGCTTGCTTCCCGCTCTCGCGTAATTAGCTTGCGACTGTCGTTCGTGCAAATGACGCCAGAATTAATGCCTCTGTAAATGCTTAATCCCCCATTATCCTTGTACAGGATAATTGTGATATGAATCCCGCTGCAAGGCACAGTCAAGTTGCAGCATTGTATGTTTACTTTGTCTTCATTTTTGTGAAATACAAATTCAATTTTACAGTTGAATCACCCCAGATTTGTTTTGTGTGTTTCTCTCTCAGTGAGTACAGTTAAGTCTCGATTATCCGTGGGCAGATTATCTGGATTTAGGATTAACCGTGCTTGCAAAATGATATCTTTACACATGCGATGGAACGGTTCTCTTATTAGCCGCTATTACGTTAAGAAACAATAACAGATGGCACAATAGGGCTTCACCTCCATTTTCCATGGGTATACAATACGTTTCTATCGTCTAATTCACACATTACTTGTGCAATCTTTGGTTTATTTTATTTTATCCGGACCCTCTCTCCTTCAGCACCGATATTCGAGAACGGACTCGATTTTCACTTCTCTTTAACACGAATCGTATCGAATCCACAGTGCTGCATCATATACATATACTGTCATTTTAGTACAAGCTACCTTCGATGCAACTGCTCATTTTCTGACATGCCAAACTTTTGTGTCCCTTTTTAACGTGGACCTTCCCATGGGGCATTGTGGCTGAGTGCTTAGTAATCTCAAGTGTGAATGTCCAGGTGGGAACACAAAATGTCATTGAAATATATTACCCGGATTATTTTTCAGAATGTCTGGGCAGCCATTATTTTGATCACGTTATTAATATGCTAACTGCCCACTAGTATACGGTATTGGGTAAACTGTGACATGACCGAGTGAAAGCGCGCTCACCACTTGCTGCAAAGGTTCACAGTTCAAATTCAGTGGCCGCCCTGATTAATACTGCAGGTGTATTAACTGTCAAAAATATACGCGGTCTGCTTCACAGATGGATGTTAAAGATCCTGTGACGTCTTTTGTAAATGTAGGCCAGTGTCATGGTCCAAACTTGACAAAACACCCGTGAACAAATTGATTGGGATTATACAAAGCCAGTATTGCCCGTTCTGGTGGACCAAAGAGCTTGTGCAATTGTTGATTTCTGGCTTCCTTCCCACTCGTCTGGTTTCATGACCTAATGAGCCAGATGGACCAAATGCTTGCCCCCCTTTCGTTCGTAATCATCCTGCTGATCTGAAATTAGTCATGAGAATATCTCAACCTCTGAATTCAAATCAAACAAGCACAGTGAGAAAATGCACGGACACATGAGTGGTGTGTGGAAAATAAATTGGCATGTATACACAACCAGAAAGTCTCGCAAGATCGCTGACATTCATCTGCATTTCACGTGAGGCACAAGTGATATTCTGTGAAAAAAAATGCCTAATGCCACTTGGAGCCAAGAGAATTTGTAAATCACATGGCAGATCACCCCTTGTGATTGAATTGGAGTCTTGTGCTTCCCCAATTAAAGTCACACGGCTGCTTGTCCCAGGGCCAGCATGAAAGAGCAGGTTGTGAAGCTGTTGCGTTGAGGTGGGGTTTTTTCAGGTCAGTTTTGTACTCGCATTTAAACCTCTCCCTAATCCACACACTGCAATGTATGTCCCCTTACCCCTCGACATCATCTGGTGCCCCAAGATGATGGGGTCTGTTAATCAGGCACCAAGAGCTTACTAACTCCAAACTCGTTGTGCTCTTGCTGGCGTCTGTGAAGAAGGGGGGGCGGGGGGGTTTGGAGAAAGCAACGCTATCCCCTTTGTTCTGTCGTAGCGTGCCTCCAGCCCAGCTGTACTTTCTGTCTGCGAACTGGGAATAGATCTTGACATGTGAGCCGCTCCATGGGAAAAAAGCGCCCATTTTGCATCAACTTGCTGAAAGTTCAACGATTTCTTTATCAGCAAAATGACCCACGTAAATTTGTTGTCTACCATTTCAGTCTGCATAATATGCAAAATGAACAAGGTCTATTAATGAAATTTGAACGTCCAAAGCAAAGCAGATGTGGCATTTGAAAGTGGCTTAATAAGGTCATGGCAATTAATATTATTGCAGTAGCGAGTGGTTTAGAGCATGGAAGGTTGCAAGTTCAAATCTGGTTTGGGGTTGACTTAACCCTTCACCATTCTGGGTAAATGAAATAGGTATTTTTCGGGAAACCAGCAGTGGTTATCCTATTAATAGACTTGCCTCCGGCATGGAATTGTGGAATAAAAACCATTGACTCGTGGCTATGAATAGGAGATGCGCTCCTCACATTTGAGTGGTAAGCCAGCGAAGGTGACATTTCACCACGACTATGAATCCTCGTCGCAGTGATAGAATGTGATGTCAAGGTTCACACGGGAGCCTTTTGGCTGTGCTGCTCCTCTGTTTGAACAACGTAACGTGGGCCCTACGTTGGAGTGGAGGCTGCCCAACACCATTCCACAAGAATAATACTGCAGCAGCAGAGCAACTCATCCTCACTGGAGGTTTTCAACAAGTGGTAGCTTGTGAGCTTGTGAATGAAAGTACTCAATCACAATATAAATTCATATTGTTTTTGTATTCATTTTGGACCCTCTGTATTGATGGAGCAATTGCATGCAACATATCAGGGCCTTGCTGATGAAACTGAAAGTGTAAATCAGTCCAAGGCTGTGATTTAAACATGCTGTGGGGAGAATGTTTCAGCGGATTGTGTTTCACATGTACTGTCTGCATATCTGTATGTTTGTGAAACAGTTGCGGAACATTGTATTTGATACATGCATAGGTGTGTTTTGGGAATAATCCTGCGATTGTTTAAGAGATGATTACGGGTTATTGGCATTGTATTTGGGCTCTATATTAAGTTGAGGTTAGTGTTGAGGTACTTTTCATTTTGAAGTGTATACTCGAATACGAACTAGTCACGCCTCCATCATATGGTACATTTCCATGAGGTTATTTACACATCGAATCTCACTGGTTTTCATTTATTGGTTGTAATGGTACCTCTTTTTTATGAACTGTGACGCGTTACAGACAGCTACGTAGAAGATATATCGAAGTACCTGTGAACATTCGTAAATGTGATTGGCAGCACTGCGCCATTGTTCGAGATTCAAAAGTTCAAGAAAGAAATGTTTTGTATTTGTAAAATAATGTACATATTGAGAGCTGTACATATACACATTGAGGGCTTGTAAAAGTTCACGGAGACTGAATAATGGCTGTATAATGTTTTCTTGTCGGGAAATCAATTATTGAAGAATGTGCCCATGCATGCTGACGATAACATTTTGGTATCTACTTTGTCACTTGTGCCATTTGTCCTTCTATACACTTTATTTATATCGACTTTCTCTGCTTTTCTTGATCTTGCTCTTCTATAGTTATTTTGTATTGTGTTGCTGTAACTTGCTGACCCGCCCCTACTGGACATTGTGAAAAAGAGCTTCATAGCTCATCGGATTATTCCCGTCTAAAGATGCTGATTCTGAACTTTGGCTTACGCAGGAGTCATTTTGATGCATACGCCATTCCATGTTGTCATGTACAGTTCCCAATGATCATACACAACCTGAATTCCCATTGTCTTCCAGCAACCACATATATACTGCACAGTATTACATTTACTGACAAAAACAAAGCAGATACCATCTTCCATCAAGTCAATCCCAGCCGGGAGAAGCCTCAAGGCCTTCCCTCCCGCCCACCTACCCCCCTTGCCGAGTCAGATGCCCCATCGCACAACGTCATTCAAACCAAGCAAGAGATCTACTGTGGATAATAGGGTTAAGTTTAGCACGTGTCTTGTAATACTCAACTGCAATGTACAACTGCACCATTGCATATGCATGTATTGGAACGCTGAACGTTGCACATTAATATATCAGCATCGAAGCAGCAGTCGTGCTTTCTTGGAATCGTCAAGATGTCATGGACAGAAATATGACAATTACTGATGGGCTGAGAATGCCAGAACAACCGAGATTGGATTTTGATGAGAATATGTACAGCTTTTAATGAGCACACAGCAGGAATCAGCAGGAATGCGTGCTCTTGTCTTTACAGGAACGGCGGAAGGATACAGCTGGGACGAATTGGGGTTGTACTTTTGCCACTTATGAGAAAGTAAAATAAAGCTTTATAGAAAATAACGTGGCATATTTTAAATGGTGTGAACATTTGCTTGTAGTACACACTATGTAAGCTGCTATCCATAAGCAGCTTCTGCACTTTGAGTACCGGTATCAGGCAGGGATTTCCTGCTCAAATGAGCATTGAAGGAGTTCTCGTCTGCTTACAGCCCTGAGCCAGTGTTGTAAATTGCACGTTTCTATGGTGGGGGCAAGTTCATCCATAGGACTGCCACTGATGGCTTCCCCACAAAGTGGTTATTAATCGACCCCGAGAGGCATGGCGGCCAGGGAGTGAACTCCCCACACCCGTTACAATCGTGAGCCGCCCACTCGACCGCTTCGCCGCCTTCTTGTCCAGGGTCCCAGGAGAACCGCATGCGGAGGCTAAGCGGGAATTAGCGGCGGCCGGATTTTGGTTCTTAATCTCCCTGTGACGCGGGCCCTTCCATGTGACGCATAAAGCTCGAGGCGCGAGTGGCCAAGCTAAAGGAGCGGACCACAGGAGCCTGCGAGCAGAGATCCACGTGCCTCCCTCCAGTTCACAGCGCGCTTACAGCTTCTAGGTATGTAGTGTGTGGGTGTCCTCGTCCTTCTAGGTGTGTAGTGTGTGGGTGTCCTCGTCCTTCTAGGTGTGTAGTGTGTGGGTGTCCTCGTCCTTCCAGGTGTGTAGTGTGTGGGTGTCCTCGTCCTTCTAGGTGTGTAGTGTGTGGGTGTCCTCGTCCTTCTAGGTGTGTAGTGTGTGGGTGTCCTCGTCCTTCTAGGTGTGTAGTGTGTGGGTGTCCTCGTCCTTCTAGGTGTGTAGTGTGTGTGTGTCCTCGTCCTTCTAGGTGTGTAGTGTGTGGGTGTTCTCGTCCTTCCAGGTGTGTAGTGTGTGTGGGTGTCCTCGTCCTTCTAGGTGTGTAGTGTGTGGGTGTCCTCGTCCTTCTAGGTGTGTAGTGTGTGGGTGTCCTCGTCCTTCTAGGTGTGTAGTGTGTGGGTGTCCTCGTCCTTCTAGGTGTGTAGTGTGTGGGTGTCCTCGTCCTTCCAGGTGTGTAGTGTGTGGGTGTCCTCGTCCTTCTAGGTGTGTAGTGTGTGGGTGTCCTTGTCCTTCTAGGTGTGTAGTGTGTGGGTGTCCTCGTCCTTCTAGGTGTGTAGTGTGTGGGTGTCCTCGTCCTTCCAGGTGTGTAGTGTGTGGGTGTCCTCGTCCTTCTAGGTGTGTAGTGTGTGTCCTCGTCCTTCTAGGTGTGTAGTGTGTGGGTGTTCTCGTCCTTCTAGGTGTGTAGTGTGTGGGTGTTCTCGTCCTTCTAGGTGTGTCGTGTGTGTGTGTTCTCATCCTTCTAGATGTGTAGTGTGTGGGTGTTCTCGTCCTTCTAGGTGTGCGTGTGTGTGTGTTCTCATCCTTCTAGATGTGTAGTGTGTGGGTGTTCTCGTCCTTCTAGGTGTGTCGTGTGTGTGTGTTCTCATCCTTCTAGATGTGTAGTGTGTGGGTGTTCTCGTCCTTCTAGGTGTGCGTGTGTGTGTGTTCTCATCCTTCTAGATGTGTAGTGTGTGGGTGTTCTCGTCCTTCTAGGTGTGCGTGTGTGTGTGTTCTCGTCCTTCTAGGTGTGTAGTGTGTGTGGGTGTCCTCATCCTTCTAGGTGTGTAGTGTGTGGGTGTTCTCGTCCTTCTACAGTGGGGGAAAAAGTATTTGATGTACGTTTGCCCACTGACAAAGAAATGATCAGTCTATAATTTCAATGGTAGGTTTATTTGAACAGTGAGAGACAGAATAACAACAAAAAAATCCAGAAAAACGCATGTCAAAAATGTTATAAATTGATTTGCATTTTAATGAGGGAAATAAGTATTTGACCCCCTCTCAATCAGAAAGATTTCTGACTCCCAGGTGTCTTTAATACAGGTAACGAGCTGAGATTAGGAGCACACTCTTAAAGGGAGTGCTCCTAATCTCAGCTTGTTACCTGTATAGACACCTGTCCACAGAAGCAATCAATCAATCAGATTCCAAACTCTCCACCATGGCCAAGACCAAAGAGCTCTCCAAGGATGTCAGGGACAAGATTGTAGACCTACACAAGGCTGGAATGGGCTACAAGACCATTGCCAAGCAACTTGGGAAGAAGGTGACAACAGTTGGTGCGATTATTCGTCAATGGAAGAAACACAAAAGAACTGTCAATCTCCCTCGGCCTGGGGCTCCATGCAAGATCTCACCTCGTGGAGTTGCAATGATCATGAGAACGGTGAGGAATCAGCCCAGCACTACACGGGAGGATCTTGTCAATGATCTCAAGGCTGCTGGGACCATAGTCACCAAGAAAACAATTGGTAACACACTACGCCGTGAAGGACAAATCCTGCAACGCCTGCAAGGTCCCCCTGCTCAAGAAAGCACATATACATGCCCGTCTGAAGTTTGCCAATGGACATCTGAATGATTCAGAGGACAACTGGGTGAAAGTGTTGTGGTCAGATGAGACCAAAATGGAGCTCTTTAGCATCAACTCATCTCGCCGTGTTTGGAGGAGGAGGAATGCTGCCTATGACCCAAAGAACACCATCCCCACCGTCAAACATGGAGGGGGAAACATAATGCTTTGGGGGTGTTTTTTTGCTAAGGGGACAGGGCAACTTCACCGCATCAAAGGGACGATGGACGGGGCCATGTACCGTCAAATCTTGGGTGAGATCCTCCTTCCCTCAGCCAGCGCATTGAAAATGGGTCGTGGATGGGTATTCCAGCATGACAATGACCAAAAACACACGGCCAAGGCAACAAAGGAGTGGCTCAAGAAGAAACACATTAAGATCCTGGAGTGGCCTAGCTGGTCTCCAGACCTTAATCCCATAGAAAATCTATGGAGTGAGCTGAAGGTTCGAGTTGCCAAACGTCAGCCTCGAAACCTTAATGACTTGGAGAAGATCTCCAAAGAGGAGTGGGACAAAATCCCTCCTGAGATGTGTGCAAACCTGGTGGCCAACTACAAGAAACATCTGACCTCTGTGATTGCCAACAAGGGTTTTGCCACCAAGTACTAAGTCATGTTTTGCAGAGGGGTCAAGTACTTATTTCCCTCATTAAAATGCAAATCAATTTATGACATTATTGACATGCGTTTTTCTGGAAATTTTTGTTGTTATTCTCTCTCACTGTTCAAATAAACCTACCATTAAAATTATAGACTGATTATTTCTTTGTCAGTGGGCAAACGTACAAAATCAGCAGGGGATCAAATACTTTTTTCCCCCACTGTAGGTGTGTAGTGTGTGGGTGTTCTCGTCATTCTAGATGTGTAGTGTGTGGGTGTCCTCATCCTTCTAGGTGTGCAGTGTGTGGGTGTTCTCGTCCTTCTAGGTGTGTAGTGTGTGTGTGTTCTCGTCCTTCTAGGTGTGTAGTGTGTGGGTGTTCTCGTCCTTCTAGGTGTGTAGTGTGTGTGTGTTCTCGTCCTTCTAGGTGTGTAGTGTGTGTGTGTTCTCGTCCTTCTAGGTGTGTAGTGTGTGGTTCTCGTCCTTCTAGGTGTGTAGTGTGTGTGTGTGTTCTCGTCCTTCTAGGTGTGTAGTGTGTGGTTCTCGTCCTTCTAGGTGTGTAGTGTTTGTGGGTGTCCTCGTCCTTCTAGGTGTGTAGTGTGTGGGTGTCTTCGTTCTTCTAGGTGTGTAGTGTGTGGGTGTTCTCGTCCTTCTAGGTGTGTAGTGTGTGGGTGTCCTCGTCCTTCTAGGTGTGTAGTGTGTGGGTGTTCTCGTCCTTCTAGGTGTGCACGTGTGTGGGTGATCTCGTCCTTCAAGGTGTGTGTGGGTGTCCTCGTCCTTCTAGGTGTGTAGTGCGTGGGTGTTCTCGTCCTTCTAGGTGTGTAGTGTGTGGGTGTTCTCGTCCTTCTAGGTGTGTAGTGTGTGTGTGTTCTCGTCTTTCTAGGTGTGCGCGTGTGTGGTTCTCGTCCTTCTAGGTGTGTAGTGTGTGTGGGTGTCCTCGTCCTTCTAGGTGTGTAGTGTGTGTGGGTGTTCTCGTCCTTCTAGGTGTGTAGTGTGTGGGTGTTCTCGTCCTTCTAGGTGTGTAGTGTGTGTGTGTTCTCGTCTTTCTAGGTGTGCGCGTGTGTGGTCCTCGTCCTTCTAGGTGTGTAGTGTGTGGGTGTTCTCGTCCTTCTAGGTGTGTAGTGTGTGGGTGTTCTCGTCCTTTTAGGTGTGTAGTGTGTGTGGGTGTTCTCGTCCTTCTAGGTGTGTATTGTGTGGGTGTTCTCGTCCTTCTAGGTGTGTAGTGTGTGGGTGTTCTCGTCCTTCTAGGTGTGTAGTGTGTGTGGGTGTTCTCGTCCTTCTAGGTGTGTAGTGTGTGGGTGTTCTCGTCCTTCTAGGTGTGTAGTGTGTGGGTGTTCTCGTCCTTCTAGGTGTGTAGTGTGTGGGTGTTCTCGTCCTTCTAGGTGTGTAGTGTGTGTGGGTGTTCTCGTCCTTCTAGGTGTGTAGTGTGTGGGTGTTCTCGTCCTTCTACAGTGGGGGAAAAAGTATTTGATGTACGTTTGCCCACTGACAAAGAAATGATCAGTCTATAATTTCAATGGTAGGTTTATTTGAACAGTGAGAGACAGAATAACAGAAAAACGCATGTCAAAAATGTTATAGATTGATTTGCATTTTAATGAGGGAAATAAGTATTTGACCCCCTCTCAATCAGAAAGAGTTCTGGCTCCCAGGTGTCTTTAATACAGGTAACGAGCTAAGATTAGGAGCACACTCTTAAAGGGAGTGTTCCTAATCTCAGCTTGTTACCTGTATAGACACCTGTCCACAGAAGCAATCAATCAATCAGATTCCAAACTCTCCACCATGGCCAAGACCAAAGAGCTCTCCCAGGATGTCAGGGACAAGATTGTAGACCTACACAAGGCTGGAATGGGCTACAAGACCATTGCCAAGCAGCTTGGTGAGAAGGTGACAACAGTTGGTGCGGTTTATTCGCAAATGGAAGAAACACAAGAGAACTGTCAATCTCCCTCGGCTTGGGGCTCCATGCAAGATCTCACCTCGTGGAGTTGCAATGATCATGAGAACGGTGAGGAATCAGCCCAGAACTACACGGGAGGATCTTGTCAATGATCTCAAAGCAGCTGGGACCATAGTCACCAAGAAAACAATTGGTAACACACTACGCCGTGAAGGACAAATCCTGCAGCGCCTGCAAGGTCCCCCTGCTCAAGAAAGCACATATACATGCCCGTCTGAAGTTTGCCAATGAACATCTGAATGATTCAGAGGACAACTGGGTGAAAGTGTTGTGGTCAGATGAGACCAAAATGGAGCTCTTTGGCATCAACTCATCTCGCCGTGTTTGGAGGAGGAGGAATGCTGCCTATGACCCCAAGAACACCATCCCCACCGTCAAACATGGAGGTGGAAACATTATGCTTTGGGGGTGTTTTTCTGCTAAGGGGACAGGGCAACTTCACCGCATCAAAGGGACGATGGACGGGGCCATGTACCGTCAAATCTTGGGTGAGATCCTCCTTCCCTCAGCCAGCGCATTGAAAATGGGTCGTGGATGGGTATTCCAGCATGACAATGACCTAAAACACACGGCCAAGGCAACAAAGGAGTGGCTCAAGAAGAAACACATTAAGATCCTGGAGTGGCCTAGCTGGTCTCCAGACCTTAATTTCATAGAAAATCTGTGGAGTGAGCTGAAGGTTCGAGTTGGCAAACGTCAGCCTCAAAACCTTAAAGACTTGGAGAAGATCTGCAAAGAGGAGTGGGACAAAATCCCTCCTGAGATGTGTGCAAACCTGGTGGCCAACTACAAGAAACATCTGACCTCTGTGATTGCCAACAAGGGTTTTGCCACCAAGTACTAAGTCTTGTTTTACTTATTTCCCTCATTAAAATGCAAATCAATCAATAACATTATTGACATGCGTTTTTCTGGAATTTGTTATTATTCTCTCTCACTGTTAAAATAAACCTACCATTTAAGTTATAGACTGTTCATTTCTTTGTCTGTGGGCAAACGTACAAAATCAGCAATGGATCAAATACTTTTTCCCCCCACTGCAGGTGTGTAGTGTGTGGGTGTTCTCGTCATTCTAGATGTGTAGTGTGTGGGTGTCCTCATCCTTCTAGGTGTGTAGTGTGTGGGTGTTCTCGTCCTTCTAGGTGTGTGTGGGTGTTCTCGTCCTTCTAGGTGTGTAGTGTGTGGGTGTTCTTGTCCTTCTAGGTGTGTAGTGTGTGGGTGTCCTCGTCCGTGATCCGGTTTTGGCCGACTCCCCCCTTAGGTCGACTCAGCCTCAAATGAGTACCTTGTGCGGTGTGTAAACATTGCCACTGGGGAGGCAAAGGCGGTCGGGCGTGGTGCTGGCCACCCACCCCCTCGTGTACCGTTACCGGCCTTGATAGGTGCTCGCTCACAGCACTTGCCCCAACAGTCTGTTAAAGGCTACACCGGGGTGGGGGGGGATCTTCGTCTTTGTAGTCGTGCGTAGGGGGCACAATCTGCACGTCCGCTGATCCACGTGGATGAATGTTCCGACTGGTGTCCCGTACAGCGACGCTGACTCCGTCTGCTGCGCTATATCGCAGACGTTCCGTGTCTATCACATCGTACCCGAAACATAACCCACCCAACGCATGTCTCACGCCCAACACAGCAGAGGGATAGTGTGCGCTTGTGTCCGTTGTTTCGTTGCTGTGTCGTGGGTCCTTACACCAACGCGCGTGTGTGTGTTTGTTTGAGTAGCTTCTGTATATAGTGCGTGCTTTCGGGGTTGAACATGTTTGTTGTGATATAAAAAATGCAGTGAAATTTAACTGAATAGGTGATCTCTAACTTGATAGGTGCTCTCAAACTCGATCGGTGCTCTCTAACTTAATAGGTGCTCACTAACTCATCCTGCCCAAGCAGCTTGCAAGCCTGGAGCAGGAGCGGTGGCGCAGCGGTTAGCGCACAGCGCTACAAACCCGGTGAGCCAAGTTCGATTCCAGCTCACGACCAATGCCGGGGAGAGACAAAGGCGGCCGGGCGTGGTGTACGCCAGCACCACTCCCCTTCGCGCGGCGTGACAGCCTTCGTAGGCGGCGCTCCCCCCGAACAGCACATGCCCCCCCCCCCCACCGGTCCGCTGTGGGCTCTAGGGGGCATCTCTCCCGGTGTCTCTGCAGGAACGTGTCGCCATGGAGCCGCGCCACGCGGCCTCCTCGCTCCTCGTCGCCGCCCTGAGCCTGGTCGCTCTGCTCGCCCCGGCGCGCGCCAACCGCACGTGCGCGGTGGACAACTTCCCCGTGATGGACAACTTCGACAAGGAGCGGGTAAGGCGCGGGGCGACGAGCGCGCGCCCTGCTCCCTTGAGGCGACACATCGCGCGTGCCCTCGGCGTGCGATCCGGGCCGCACACAGAGATGATTCTTTAAGCGCCGTTAATGAGAAGAAGGAGACTTTGAGCCCACCGCGAGGAGCACGCTCTGGTGACGGTGCTGCAGTTGTTACGTCACTTACAGCGATGCCGCTCCACCGACATCAGACTCTGGAATAATTTGTTCTCGTGAGCAAAGTTGCAAGCGGTAGAGTCCCGTGATTCCCAGCCCAGGTCGTATGTACCTGAGATACAAGACGCTTTCTGTATTTTGGGAGGCAACTTAATTCGTAGAACCGTGGATGGATGCTGGCATTACAGCGTGTTGAACGTTAAACGGAAAAAAATGCTTCCCTTAGTTGTCGTGAGCAAGGTTCATGATTAAGTGCGATGGAATGAGATGAGCGGATGGCACGTTGTGCCATTGCTCTGAATGTCTGAGTGAAGACTACATCCTGGGGGCTCCAGTCGTGGACTGCGGTCTGGAGCAACATTAACTAACTCATCCTGCTCAGGTGCACCGAGATTGATGGCGTTGAGGCTTGTAGTTTTATTTGAAAGATTTTTGTTATTTCCATTGCAAAATGTAACCTATGATTAGAAATGCGTGTTATAAGGGGGGAGGGGGGGGCGGAATAGCGACGCTCGCAACAACGAGCGGCGCGCCGGGCGGCTAAAACGCAGCAAGTTGGCACAGTGGGGAGCACAGTTGGTGCATCTTCCAGTCATCTCAGTCACTCAACCCGTAGCATCTGGGTCTGTCGCGTGACCTCCTGCCAGCGAGCCTCGGACAATGTACGTGGCCTCATGATGCACCTAGCCTGGCACCAGCGCCGTGGTGACGTCACCACCACGGTGGCGAGTGTTCACTACCTCGCCTGGTATACGGGAGGTCGTGATTTCGAGCCCTACCCTGACGCCTGCTGCTGTATATTTGGAGTTTGCGTGTTTTCCCCGTGGTCGCGTTGATTTTTCTCCGAGTCCTCCGGTTTTCCCCTCCACATTTAGAATCAACATCACGCGTTTAGAGTATTTAGATTATTTGGTTGATATGCATTTCCACACGATAAGCCACTTCGTTGAGCTATCATTTGTGACCAGGCCGCTTCTGAAAAAGACCTACATAGCTCAGTGGGCCTTATCTGGTGAAATAAAAAAATGTTTATTGGCGAACGACTGCTGTTGTTGTTGTTGTTGTTTTGGGTTTTGCCGTAGTACCTGGGCAAGTGGTACGCAGTCTCCAAGAAGGACCCGGAGGGGCTCTTCCTGCAGGACAACATCTCAGCCGACTATACCCTCGACGAGGACGGCAACTTGGTGGCCACCTCGCGTGGCCGTGTCAAACTCTTCGGGTGCGTCGTCCGCTCGCAGGGAGGATGGTGCCGGGCTGAGCGGAGCTCTGCGCCAGCGGTGTAGAATTCACCCAGCGCCTGTGGTCCATTCGGGGGGGGGGGGTGGGGGCGGGGGGATCTCAACGGGCTCCTCGATGATCCACCTGAAATCCATACATTTTTCGTTTTACGTATTAATTTCAAGTTGTGGATATTTATTTGCCATCAGCTGCACCAGAAATCGCTGTCCGCTTTTGTCAGCGATTGTCCTGATTTGTCTGGAGAGTCGCACAAAATGTTTAGCGATCGAGCCGTGGGGTCGCGATCCACGCGCTGGCCACCACTGCTGTCCACTCAGCCCAGCCTCAGCACAGGTAGAACTTGAACTGTGATTACAAATCAAACAAGCCGGCAAGACGATCCATTGAAGTGAGTCAACATTCACTTCAGGGGATTCAGCAGGGCGGTGGCTCGATGCTTGGCAGGCTGCCCTGGTTCATGCTGCGGGAGTGTTGAGCATACAAGGCAGAGTGCTTAAAAAACAATGTTCACACTTGACTTAAAGCTTTCGTGACTGCAGGAATTCATACTCTTTGGGTCTTTCGGTAAAGTCACTTTACCGAAAGACCCAAAGAGTCATGTTGACACTTCTGAGAATTTGCAACAAGACCACGTGACATGTGCTGCTGCCTCCGGGCTCTGGCGACAACGTGGAGAAGATTCCAGGCCACGTGTTGACAATGATGACGAACAAGTGGAGACTCTTTGACTTTTAGAAGCTATTAACATTACATTTGTTATCACGTTACAATGTAGTATTGTCCGTTCTTTTTTCCATTAAAGACGATAGTCCCATATAAGTGTTAAACCAATATATTAATCACTCTGTACGTGCCGTTTGACCACCGTTGGTGGCAAGGCGAGGCAGCGTGCTTGGTGGTGCCGAAGACTCTCTCACTCGAAATCTCTCTTTCTAAATCTCTCTCTCTAAATCTCTCTCTCTAAATCTCTCTTTCTCTCTAAATCTCCCTTTCTCTCTAAATCTGTCTCTCTCTCTCTAAATCTCTCTCTCTCTAAATCTGTCACTCTAAATCTCTCTCTCTAAATCTCTCTCTCTAAATCTGTCACTCTAAATCTCTCACTCGAAATCTCTCTTTCTCTCTAAATCTCTCTCTAAATCTCTCTCTCTAAATCTCTCACTCGAAATCTCTCTCTCTCTAAATCTTTCTCTCTAAATCTATCTCTCTAAATCTCTCTCTCTCTCTCTAAATCTCTCTCACTCTAAATCTCCCTCGTCCGTGCGAGAGTCTCGGCTGACGTGCGGTCCCGGCCTCGACTTGCGCGCCTGCTGGGTTTGGCCGCAGGTTCTGGGAGGCGTGCGCTGACATGGTGGCCTCCTACATCGTGGCCAAGCCCGAAGTGAAATCCAAGATGTTCATGAATTACCAAGGGCTCGCCAGCTACCTCTCCAGCGGGGGTAGGACCCCCCGCAGGCCACGAGCACGACCCCTCCATTGCAGAATGCCTTTGCATGCACAGAACGTATGGACGTAGGAAAGCTGTAACTGATGATGCTGAACACAACATTGGCAATGTTTTTTTAACATTATTATACCAATTATGTAATTTATTTAATTACTATTCATCAGATTCTGCGGAAAAAAACTATGAATTTAGATTTGACCATTGTGCCTTACATTTGTAGACGATGACAAAATCATATTACTCATTAGATATTGATGAAATTACTTTAAGCTCTCACAAACCAAAGTCTGATTAAACTTGTATTTATAGCGGAATGTCACACAGCGACGTTTCGCTGTAGCTCCCTGCGAAATGTTGAACCCAATCATTAATCGTTGTGAGGTTGTCTGTGTCGGGTGGAGGAGGGTATACGACACACGTTTTGCGATTCATAAATTATGAACCACAAAAAAAACATTTTAATAAACGGCAAAGGACTCCAATAATCCAGACCCCACCCCGCGAACGTGAGCACCGCGTCCCGATCCGACTCCCCCCACCTCCGGCTTCCCAACTCTCCTGCCTCGCGTCGCCCCGGCCACAACCCCCCCCCACCCCCCGCACAGGAGACGACTACTGGGTGATCGACACGGACTACGACTCGTACGCGCTCACCTACTCGTGCCGCTCGCGCGACGAGGAGGGTCTGTGCGCCGACGGCTACTCGCTGGTGTTCGCGCGCACTCCGCGCGGCCTGCCGCCCGGCACGCAGCGCATCATCCGCGCGCGCCAGGACGAGCTGTGCCTGCTCGGGCACTTCACGCCGGTGGTGCAGAACGGTGAGGGACACGCGGCGGTCGCCCCACGCGGCGCTTCGACCGTGGGTTTCAGCATCACGTGGTGGCGGGGAGTGTCGCGGGGAGCGGTTCGTGTCGCGGTTTCGCTGCGCTGCGTCTACGAACCCGGCGACCCGCATTCGATTATCGCTCACGGCGGACACCCGTGACAATTATTTGCAACTGTCCTGGGCCTCCCCTGGGTTGACTCAGCCTCAAATGAATACCTGGTGCGGTGTGTGAAAACATCACCACTGGGAGAGACTAAGGCGGACTGTTGGGACAGGTGCTGTTAGGGAGCACCAATAAAGGCCGGCACGGCACACGAGGGGGTGGGTGGCCAACACCACGCTCTGCCGCCTTTGTCTCCCCAGTGGCGATGTTTACACACCACACCAAGTACTCATTTGAGGTTGAGTAGACCTAGGTGAGGCCCAAGACCGGTCCAGATAATGGTCACTGGCACAACAACAGCCGTCATTCGCCACTCAGTGACGGTAACGTCACCACGGCGCTTGTTCCAGGCTCGGTGCACTCCGAGGGCACGTGACGTGTCGAAGGCTCGCAGCTGACAGGTCACGGGGCAGACCCAGGTGCCATGGGTTGACTGACTGAGATCACTGGCAGATGCACCACCTGTGGCCCTCACTGTGCCAACTTGCTGCATTTTAGCTGCCTGACTACCAGCCCGTCATGTGCAGCATGATCAACCTATCCAGTGTAAGTGTGAGGTGTGTGTGCACTTTGTGTGTACTTTGTGTGTACTTTATGAGTGTTATCTGTGTGTGTGTGTGTGCAGGAGCTTGCCCATGAAGCAAAGGAGGGTGGCAAGGTGGGCGGAGGAGCCCTCACCGCCTGCAAGATCTCCCCCAGTGCTCAGCCGACACACACAACCATAACCAGCGATGTGCATTATTCAACATATATCGACATTATATGATAGGGTATTGTGCATTTAATGATATTCAAACATACAATACATAGGTGAGAGACTATATATAGTTACATCCTCATCAGTCCTCCGCAAGTGGTGAAAGTTAGGTCTATGAATAAATTTTCCAAAAATTTGGTCAATTTTACTGTTTTACTGTTGTGTCCACCCATAACAACAAGTTGATAGCAATATTCGTGTGATCTTGATTTGAAGCTTTCGTGACTGCAGGAATCCATACTCTTTGGTTCTTTCTGTAAAGTCACTTAGGTAGAAAAATAAAATAAATCACGACGTTTCAGGCGCAACACAAGCGTCCGTCATCAGGTGGGAAAGCATGTTTATTTTATACCTACGTGACTTTACCGAAAGAACCAAAGAGTATAATATTCGTGTGATAGTATATGCATCATGCCCTCATGCTTCATTATGAAACTAAAAAGAAAGAATATTGAATACGTGTATGAAGATACTGATCTTTCCTTTGATACATGAAAATAGAACTTCGATCCATTTCACTTTAGGTAAATTCAAGTCTTTTTGTGGGATTTTTTATATTCTCTACATGCAGGATTATAGGTGACACAAATGATAATCCTTCCTCAGTATCCATCTCCTGGATAGTGAAACTACTCTATTCTTCCGAATGCTGGACTTTGCGCTTATATAGCAGTTGAAACACAGCTCCGGTGATATATTTACAACAATGTGCTGCCTCTCTTTGCCTTCGTCTCTTTTCCCTTCCACTTTAACAACGATCGACAGCGCCTCCAAACGATCGTCATTCAAAAAGTATCAAACACCCCGCTGCAATTTTCAGAGAGCAGAGGTCACACAAAGCTGCAGTCGCAGTGCCTCGTGTCCTGAGAAATCGCGCGCTTGCTGTGACTGACCACAGCGTGTGGGCAGTAGTGGTCACTGATGGCCAGATGGAGAGTGTGACTGGCAGTGGTCCATGTCGTTCAGTCACTGTGGCCATGCAACACAAACTGTGGACCACACAATAAACCACTGCAGCCTGCGCTCCTTCCACGGAAGTGTAACAGCAAAAACGACGCAAACTCTCTGTCTCTCCTGAAACCCTGTCGTGGACAGCAGACATCCACGTTGGCATTTAGCTCATGGACGTATCACTGCCATCATGTGCAAGCACAGAGCGTACTCCGTGTGAGCTGTGCACATGTGGGGATGCAATCGACCACAACCCCCCCCCCCCCCCCCAAAAGCAAAGGTGAGAATTACATCTGACTTGTTCTCTCTCAGAACACCCTATTTTAAGAGAAGCATTCTAGGGCAAAGGAAATACTGTACATGCATTTTAAGAATTTTCAGAACACATTCGACAATGCTGCGCTTACTAGTGATCTGCAACAACTATTGCAGAGCAGATAATGTTACAATGTCTCTCGATCATTAGAAATGAGGAGGAAGTGTCACCATGCGTCGAGACGCTTTGTAGATGTTTAGTTCTCCCCCTGTAAAGGCTGGCTCGCGGTGCGCCAGTGGGGTCAATAAACATGACAAGCTTGGCAAGTGCCAACACCTTTTGCAGCCCTGCAAAGCCCAATGTGTGAAACACGTCTCGTCCTCTTCGCTCGTTGCTACAGAATGTAGCCTTCGAGCGTATCTCTCTTAGCATCACGTGACATCCATGCCACGTTGCATGCTTTTTTATTTATCTATCGTGCAACGACTACAGATACATAGCCAAGGGAGAGATGCTGTGGTGCAATGATTATTCCCACATTGGATTTGCAATCGAAACTCAACAAAGGACGTGTGTTTGGTGATGCTGCACTGGGCACCACGTGCTGCACAAGCTGCCATTCACAAACACCCAACACACTCGTCGACACCCGATGCATTGCAATAAACAAATATAACGAGCAACATTCGTGAGTCGTGTGAGTCTTTCCTTTTATTCAGAGGTCAATGGGTCGATTCCATCTCCCGGCGCGGCAGCCGCAACAGCGGTGGCGAGTTCCTTGAACCCTTCGGCTCGAATCCGCCTCGCAGTCTCAAAGGGTTCGCCACCGCTGCGGAGGAGATCGGCGGCAGGTCGCGTGCGGCGCGGTGGTCAGAATCTTTATTTAGACTGGAGGAGGAATCCGATGAGCTATGAAGCTCTTTTTCACAGTATGGGCGGGTCAGCGAGTTCGGTGTGGGTGCTGCCACCTCGTCTTCTCCTTCTTCTTCTGAGACGTCTCGGCCAGCGTGGAAGACGTGGATCGACAGCTTCTCGGGATACCTCTCGAGGAGGCCTTTTCCGCCAGCGGTGAGGCGAGCGACCAAAGTTCTGTACCTTCGCCGTGAAAGTCACCAACGGGTTCCAATGGGTGCCGTGTGCGCGTTCGCCACGTTCCAAGTCACTGCATTCTTGACAAAAGCTCAATTCGATCACCGGCTACTGACGATGGGAACTGGCGAATCGATGCGGGCTGGGGTTGTCGCCACGCGGGGTCGCTGCTGCGGCAGCCGCAGCCGGAGCGCGGTCGCCGCTTGTGGCGGAGGTTCGCGGTTCGATTCCAGCGGTCGCCCCGGTTAATACTGCGGTGTGCCTGAACGACAATAGTTATGATGACACGAGGCGCCGCCTGCATCGTGTGCCGCAATCGTGGTCCAACTTTGCCAAATAAAATGACTCAATTGGGATCACACCAAAGCGGCGATCATCGCCCCCTATACTGACAACACTTTGGCAGGACCCTCATCACTGAGTCTTGAGACTCAGTGATGATGACGATAGATAATGATGATAGATAATGATGATAACTCAGCGCACGTGCTGCTGGTCGGGGTCTGAGTGAGGAAGAGGGGTGGGGGCCCAGTTGTAGGTGGGGGGCAGCTGGAGAGGGGGGGGGGAGTCAAGCTGGAGGTGGGGGGCGGCTGGAGAGGGGGGGTCAAGCTGGAGGTGGGAGGCAGCTGGAGAGGGGGGTCAAGCTGGAGGTGGGGGGCAGCTGGAGAGAGGGGGGGTCAAGCTGGAGGTGGGGGGCAGCTGGAGAAGGGGGAGGAGTCAAGCTGGAGGTGGGGGGCAGCTGGAGAAGGGGGAGGAGTCAAGCTGGAGGTGGGGGGCAGCTGGAGAAGGGGGAGGAGTCAAGCTGGAGGTGGGGGGCAGTTGGAGAGGGGGGGTCAAGCTGGAGGTGGGGGGCAGCTGGAGAAGGGGGAGGAGTCAAGCTGGAGGTGGGGGGCAGTTGGAGAGGGGGGGTCAAGCTGGAGGTGGGGGGCAGCTGGAGAAGGGGGAGGAGTCAAGCTGGAGGTGGGGGGCAGCTGGAGAAGGGGGAGGAGTCAAGCTGGAGGTGGGGGGCAGTTGGAGAGGGGGGAGGAGTCAAGCTGGAGGTGGGGGGCAGCTGGAGAAGGGGGAGGAGTCAAGCTGGAGGTGGGGGGCAGTTGGAGAGGGGGGGTCAAGCTGGAGGTGGGGGGCAGCTGGAGAAGGGGGAGGAGTCAAGCTGGAGGTGGGGGGCAGTTGGAGAGGGGGGGTCAAGCTGGAGGTGGGGGGCAGCTGGAGAAGGGGGAGGAGCCAAGCTGGAGGTGGGGGGCAGCTGTAGAAGGGGGAGGAGTTCGCGTGCGGAGTCGCCCATGCGGTGGGAGGGGGGCGGTGTAAAGGGGCGGGGCCCCGAGGTTCCCGCCCACGTGGGGGCCACCGCCGCCGCTGCCTCCGGCTGAGCAGCGCAGAGCGCGCGGTGACTCCACGGCGCTCGAGGCGCAGGATGAGAGCGTGAGCAGGGAGGCCTCACCTCCTCACCTCACCTCATCACCTCACCTCCTCATCTCACCTCCTCCTTCCCTCGCTCGCTCACGCACCGCAGGCGGGAGCTGCGCGGCGTGCAAGGCGCGGCAGGAGCCCCTCGGGGATGAGATCGCCGGCTGTGGACGAGCGCGGCGATGAGTCCCGGCGGGAGCACGCGGGCAGGAGCGTCCTCCTACCCCGGGGGTTGAATCCATTTGTCTGCCGCTCGCCTCCACGCGGGGCCCACGCGACTCGGTCTGCCTAGTGGGGGAGGCGAGAGACTGCGGGGAGCAGCAGCAGCAGCAGCAGCCCTGCCCGCCTGTGCGTTACTACTACTACTACCACACGGTTCACGCTCGCTGTGAACACGGTGGGTTTTCTACAAAAAATACTTCATCGATTAAGTTCCCCGCACGACCATGCGCCACGCGACCGATACGTTCCTGGGGCTTTCTGAAAGGACCTCGAGATGGGATGGACCCTCTGGGGGGTCTCGGTTTGGCCAAGGATGCCCCTCTTAAGCAGCAGCAGCAGCAGCAGCCGCGGTCTCGTTCTGCCGGCAAGAGGAGAGTGTAGCCACTGACCGCCACCACGCGTGCGAGATGAACACAAGGGGCCGTGCCCATCACCACCACCATCATCACCACGACGACGAGCGCGCGTGCGTTGCAGCCGAAGCATGAAGTCTGCGAAGGTTTGGCGAGACGCGGCCGTGCGCTCGCGCAAGCTCGGACCCGAGCTGCGTCGCGTCGCGCTCGGCGTGAACGGCAGCGGCCGCCTCTCGCTGCCCTCCGTGCTGCAGCTGCAGCAGGAGGTCGTGGACGTGCTCGACCTGGGCAACAACGCCCTGGAGGAGCTTCCCGACGCGCTGGCTCAGCTGCTCGCCCAGCTGCAGGTGCTGGTGCTGCGCAGGAACCGCCTGTCCGCGCTGCCCGCCTGCGTGCTGGCGCTGGACCAGCTGCGCGAGCTCGACCTGAGCCACAACCGCCTCGCGGCCCTGCCCGCCGACCTGCGGGCCTTGAGGAGCCTCCAGAAGCTGTGCGCGGCGCACAACCGCCTGCGCTCGCTGCCCGACTCCATCGGGGAGCTGAGCTCGCTCGCGGAGCTCGACGTGAGCTTCAACGAGCTCGAGACGCTGCCCCGGCGGCTCGGGGCCCTGCGCCGGCTGCGGGCGCTGGACGTGGACCACAACCGCCTCGCGGCCTTCCCCGAGCAGCTGCTGGCGCTGGCCGAGCTGGAGGAGCTCGACCTGTCCGGCAACAGGATCGAGCGCCTGCCCGAGGAGGGCTTCCGCGGCCTCGGCAGCCTCGCCGTGCTGTGGCTCAGCAACGCGCACCTCTCCGCCGCCCTGCCGGACGCCTTCTGCGAGTTGCACCACCTCGAGAACCTCATGATGGACGGCAACGAGTTGGACGCCCTGCCCGCCGCCTTCGGCCGCCTGCGGAGACTCAAGATACTCAACCTGTCCTCCAACCGCTTCGCCGAGTTCCCCGCGGCGGTGACCGAGCTGTCGAGCCTCGAGGAGCTGTACTTCAGCAGGAACCTGCTGCCCGCGGTGCCCGAGAGCGTCTCGCTTCTGCGCAAGCTCACCGTCCTCTGGCTGGACAACAACCGCCTGCGCTACCTGCCCGACGGCCTGGTGGAGCTGGGCCAGCTGGAGGAGCTGGTGCTGCAGGGAAACCAGATCGCCATCCTGCCGGACAACTTCGGCCGGCTGGCCAACGTCAGGGTGTGGAAGATCAAGGACAACCCCTTGATACAGCCTCCGTACGAGGTCTGCTTGAAGGGGGTCCCGCACATCGCGGCCTACCAGAAGGAGCTCTCCAGCCAAAGGCCCGCGGCGAGGCCCAGGCTCAAGCTGGTGCTGTTGGGCGCCGAGGGCTCGGGGAAGACGACGCTGAAGAGCTGCCTGACGGAGAGCCCGGGCGACGGGGGCGACGGGGGCGAGGGGATAACCGCGTCCCACTGGGAGACGCCCAGCGACGCCGGCACCACCTTCGTGGTCTACGACCTCTCGGGAGCCCCCCACTACGAGCTGATGCATCAGTTCTTCCTGTCCCCCGGCGCGCTCTACCTGCTCGTGGTGGACCTGGAGAGCTACGTCCCCGCGGCGTTCGACGGCGCCGTGGGCTACTTCTTGCGCCTGCTGGGCGGAAAGCTGCCGGGCTGCGTGGTGTGCCTGGCGGGGACCCACTCGGACGGGTGCAGCGCGCGCGACCTGGAGGAGAGGTGCTTGGACATTCACCTGCGCATCGCGCTGCAGGAGCTCGGCGACTGCGCCCTGTTGAGGACTTGTAAGGGCGCCGCGGACGAGGCCGCCGCCGCCGCGCGCGGCGAACGCCTCCCGGATCCTCCGGCTCCTGAGTTCCATGGCGTCTCCGAGATGAACCTGGGTGTGAGGAGCGCCAGACTGGGCTTCTTGCTCAACCACCGCCTGCAGATCCTGTCGCCCGTGCTGCCCGTCAACTGCCGCTCCACCCAGCCCGGCGGCGGGGGCCCCGGCGGCGTGGCGCGGCTGCGCAGGCGGCTGCTGTCGGTGGCGGCGAGCGCGGACATCTTCCCGGACCTCCACCGGGCGCTGCCGGCGTCGTGGCCGCGCCTGGAGCAGCTGCTGGGCCGCGCCGACCCGGGCCCCGGCGCGCCTGCTGGGCCGCGGGGAGACGCGGCGGTGCGCGCCGCGCTGGGCGCCGGCCTCTCGGAGGAGCGTCTCCGCGGGGCGCTGGCGCACCTGCACGCCTGCGGGAGGCTGCTGCACCTGGACGGGCGGGAGGAGGAGGGGGAGTCGGGCGACGGCGGCGGCGGCGGCGGCGGCGGCGTCCTGCTGCGCGGCCCGGCGCGGCTGCTGGAGGCGCTGAACGCGCTGTGCGAGAGGCGGCCCGCGGCGTTGCTGCGCAACCTGCGGCGCGCGGCGCGCCGCGCCGACGCGGACGTGCGGCCTGCGCAGCTGCGCCACTGCCTCCGCGGGTTCCTGCTGCACGGCCTCCTGCCCCTGCCCGCGCTGCGCTGGCTCCTTCAGCCGCAGCACCAGCAGCAGCACGAGCAGCAGCAGCAGCAGGAGGACCCGGACCTCACGCTGCAGCTGCTGGAGCGGCTGGGGCTGTGCTACCGAGTGCGGCCGGGCCGAGGGGCCGGGGGAGCGGCCCTGGGCAGCCCAGCGGGCAGCGCGGGGCCCGCGGGCAGCGCGGCGGGGACGTGGTACCGATTCCCGTGGAACGTGCGGGCCGAGGCGCCGCCCGCCGAGGCGTGGCTCAACTCGGCGGGGCTGCTGGAGCAGGCGTTCGTCGTGGAGCAGCTCACCATCGAGTTCCGATTCCCGCTCTTCTGCCCGCCCGGCCTCTTCTCCAGGTAATCAGAATCTTTATTGAGACTGGAGGAGGAATACGATGAGCGGTGAAGCTCTTTGTCACGGATGTTCAGTGGGGGCGGGTAAGAACGTTCCAACAACAAACGGTTCAACAACACGACAGTTGTGCAAATGACAAGAAAGGTAAACAAATCAGCCCAAAAACAAACAAATACAACAACTAAACCATCCCCATCCTACTAGGCAAAGCCCACTGAGGTATTCCCTTATTTTTCAGAAGCGACCTGGCCACAAATCACGCAGCAGATGTGTCCGGCCAGATAACCACCGCCTTTATTTGCACTCTGCGATGGATGTCTTTGGGTTGTCCCCGCGTGGTTTTCTGCACGGATATTCAATTCTGCTCCCAACACCGGGAGCGAAACGTCAGAAATTATTACGAAACAAACCTGCGGTACAAATGAAATCAGCTTGTGTTCTCGCTCGCTTGATTGCTGCATAAGGAGATTGTGAGAGATAAATGACGGATTGGGGAGGTATTTATCCAGCAGTGGATTGATCATGACCCCAGAAATTCTCCCTCACACAATCTCAAGACTTATTCAGCAGTGTCCTACTTCGTTTAAAAAACATGGTTTTTAGTTACACAAGAAAAGGTATCTCACCGAGTCGAAAAACTTTTGTTTAGCATGGTTCTGAATTGGGATATTAGGCTCTTTCCATTTTTGAGTGTTTGGCACGTGGGAGGAAGGTGGAGCACTTGGAGATAACCAAGGAGGCATGAAATAGGTGAGACTCCAAGCTGAACAAAGTTGCTGTACCACCATCACCTGGCCACCTCTCATCTCAAGTCTGTCACACCTGCTTTTACTCAGTGGACACATTGAGGCCGATATGGTTGTCATAACATAAAGTTGACGCACAAGGCTTTTTGTGGTGTCATTTGAAAAATCGAAGGGCAATGCCTTTAGATCTTGACATTATTCATTTAGCGTACTCAACTAAATCAATTGGCATTAATTTACTTTACTTAAAATGTCAACCCGATGCCCCTGGATTATTTGTCAGTGGGCTTAAATAAAGGACATTGAATTGATATTGTACACGATAGATCCTGAACATAAGGCAAGAAGGAGAGCAGCTTTGTGGCCTGCATCAGTTTGATGAGACCAGGTTTCAGGCCACAGTTTGGCCACTCTTAGAGGAGATACAGGGGCCGAGTCTACCATTGAGAAATTACGCTTTTTTACTTTTTCACACAGTGGGACACGTGGCGTTTCTCCGACTATGATTGTCTCTACCCAGGTTGGGCACTATTAACGTCAAGGCCCGATGGCTCTAAATTCCGCAATACACGGCAGCGAGATAACAACATTCAGTTGTGCCTTCCGTGAAATCAAACTGCTAACCCAAATAGTTTAGGAGAAATAGCCATTCAAAATCTTCCTCATAAAACTACTTTTAGAAAATGTGACCAACTTGGGCGTGTTATGCACTTGAAGTCTCGTCGTCCCGCTATTGCAGAGTGCTCACCGTGTATGCCCTAGTATTTGAGTTGACCACAATGTGCATTAAAAAGAAGCTAAGGCGCTACTTTGTTAATGACCGCTGTGTGTTTTAATTATTGCTGGTTGTCACTAGTTGCCCTGACCAAATGAAGGCAGATTTAGCATTCTTTAGAAATGCCTTTAGACTTGGCCCAATTAAGATAATTAGGTAGAAACGTGCCAAGCACACGCGCGTGTCTTGCACTGCCTGTTATAATTGGTGCCGCAAAGTGCAGGAGCAGCTGCTTGCTTGTATTTACAGTTTACGACAGAATAATCCTACGCACCTTGCAGGTGCCAATGCGCTAATGTGCTCTGCTCACAGGATGAATTCTCGACGCGGAAGGTGGTCTGCTGGTTGGCCTAGGGAGCTGGATGATAAAGCAGTTGATGAATGTGTGGAGGGTATGCGTGTCAGACGTGGAATGCTAAGAGTTTGTGGAATGTTTTAAGACTGCAGTAGCTGGTGTGTGGGTGGCTCCGGGGAGCCAATATGATACTTGTGTCAGAGAAGCACTAAAATTATTGAGTTCAGACTTCCACTTCAGATTAAGCCTGGCTTTTTCTAATAAACCGACCGTTTTAGCCGGGTTACCACTAGCTTTACATATAAACCCCATTGTGCAATTGGGTTTTCCACTTAATTTTTCAGTCAACTTTGAGGGCCTGTTTGGCGGATGGGCGCACCGCGGACCGCTCGCCTCAGCTGTAAAGCAGCTCTTAAATTTAGAGTGAGAGACCCCAAAAAGATGACAAACTAAAGTGTTTTGATTTAAAGCTTTCGTGACTGCAGTAATTCATATTCTTGGTTTCCTGCCGTTGGTTTTCACACCTGATGATGACTGTTTGTGTTACAGTCGAAACGTCGTGAGAATTTTATTGTTTTATATATATTTTATTATTTTATTGTTTCCCTTCAACGTGACTTTACTGAAAGAACCAAGAATATAAACTAAAGCGTGTTTATTTAAACACCGAGCACAGGCCTCGAGCACAATCGCAGTGCTCTGGGGGGCAGAAGACAAGTCTCCGACAAGTGGCCCAAGAATATTTGGTATTACACATGTCAGCCTCACCAAACACCGTATATCTCTATTTCTTGACATTCAGTCAGCCAACACGTACAGTACAACATAGGAGCACCGTCTAGTGTTGAGTGAGAGAAGCTTTTGCAGTGGTTTCAGAAGTAGCTCAGTGGTGTTGCCTTGTGTGGTTATTTCCTGACACGATGTGATTATTCCTCTGAATGTAAGGCGTTGCCATGCGTCTCACTTCATGCCAGATATCCAGCGCCGTAGGTATCTAATCGGTGTCCGCACACGTAAACACGCTAATTGACAGTAGCACCCACCGTGTTCATACAACTAACAGTCGCAGTCAGCGGAGTTTGGGGGCAGCGTGCCGGGCGTGTGGATTGCGTGGCAGCGTCGAGCGCCCCGTGGCCTTGTGGCTGAAATCGCGATCGCGTCGTGCCGCCCCCCCCCCCCCCAGGTACAGCGCCCGCGTGAACCCCCACGTGGTGGAGCGCTCGGACGGGCGGCACTGCGTGTGCGCGTACCGCGGCAAGGTGCCCGTCACGCTGAGCGTGCGGCGCCGGCGCCGTGGGCCTTCCTGGGGATCGGACGTCCGGGAGGGAGACTCCTCCCCGTCCAAGCAGCAGCAGCAGCAGCACGAAGATGAGGAGGAGGAAGAGGACGAAAAAGACTCGGAGCAGCCAGGAGGAGAGGGAGACTGCTCGGTAGCAGGCGACGTCGGGGACGGCGCGTCCGCGAGGAGCGGGGGCCCGGCCACCGTCTGCATCGCGAGCCACGCCACGCTGGCCAACGTGTGGACGGCCTGGCAGGCGGTGCTGCCGCTGGTGGAGGAGCTGAGCGCGCTGCTGCAGGAGTGGCCCGGCGTCCACTACACGCTGCACGTGCTCTGCGCCAAGTGCCTGCGCCGCGGGTGCCCGGACCCGCACGCCTTCCCCGGTGAGTGGACGCTTCCGGCGGGCGGGCCGAGTCTCGATCGCGGCGGCGCGGGGGGCTGGCGCGCCGTGGCCACGCGCTGCTGCTCTGGAGAAAGCGACCGATGCCCACGTCCCGTGCGTGCGTGGGCCTCGCTAAACCGCCCAATGTCGCGTCTGCGGAGTACCTGGCGGGGAAAGCGCACGGTGAAGGTTGACATTTTAAAACGTAACCGAATGTTTCCTTCGAGCTGGTGGCCTCATCGTGTCCGCTGTACCTGCCTTCTGTTCGACCTGAATGATTATGTGAGTGTCTCATGATGCGGTGCAAACTATTGTTTTTTCGTCATGGTGTGTATTCGTTATATGTCTTATAACTTCTGCAGCAATTTATTAGTTTCCTTTAAAACTCCAGATTTAGTTAAAACTTTTTACATTTCAAGGACAGTCTTTGGTTAGTGGCTTTAAAAAGTGTTGTTATATATGATATGACAATGAAAGCCAACACCTGATTCTCTCTGGGGGCTTACACAATTTGCGGATACATTTTTGAGACAATCGTATTTCGTTTGGTGAGTGGTGGCGGTGGAGTGGTGGGAGGGGGTGATCAGCATTCTTTATACGTGCGTGCCGAGGTTGGCGAGTGAGCCATTGCGGACGGCTTCTGGAGTAGCCGGGTGGTGAGTGTCTGAAAGATTGCCGCCAACAAGCGATGAGGGCGTTGCCGCAGCGTCGTCTCCACGGTTCGAGGCTTGGCAACCGCCGTGCCACCCGGATGGCTGTTCTTGATATTCCGCAGGTGGAGAAGATGGATGCAGAAAGAAAGTGAATAAGAATCATTCGAGGGAGGAAAATTATATTCCTCGGACATGTAATGAGAAAACAAGAGACTGATCATTTTTAATGTTTTTGGCTGGGACAGGAAGCTGAGGAAGACAGCGAATTAAGCACAGAAGATAATTGAACAATTGGATGCAACAGGGAGGAGTGTCTGATGCAAAGTTGTTGAGTAAACATCACGGGCAGAGTTGAACGGAAGGAAGGCCACGATCGCTGACGTCTTTGTAAAAGGACACGGCACAGAGAGGGAGAGTGGGAAATAGCCGCAGCTGCTGTGTGGCCATCAATAGCTGTGGCCATCAGTGACTGTGACCATCAGTGACTGTGACCATCAGTAGCTGTGACCATGGTTCCAATTCGTCAAACGCCTCATTGAGCAGACTCAACAACGGAGATTCTTGTAAATTCTGGTCCACAAAATCGGTTGAGTGAGACAGCTCTGAACGCCTCATTAACCGATTGATGTTGCATATTAAAAGTGGGCAAGAGTCCGTTCAGCGCACGAACGTCTCGGGAAAGCCACGAGGACCCCAGGACAAAATGGCAAGGTTAATGGATGCAGGAAGAATGTATCGCGGGGGCACAGTTTTATGCAACATCAATATGAAACCAAAACTTAAATCGTTGCTGAAAAATAACCAAAAAAATCTACAAAAACTATTCGAAATTATTAAAGTAAAATCATTGCACAGTTTATTCAATATGGTAAGTGAATATTGAAGTAATTATTTTTGCAGAGTCGCAAAAGTAAGTGTGCAATCTGTGAATAATAGACAAACCGCTTGAATTCATGCGGGATGTAAGCAGATGTACAAAGCACGGATCGTGGAATGGACTGGCATTTGAGAACCAGAGATGTGAAGAGTTACAGCGTCACTACGAGTGCCGTTGCGCAGCAGCGGTGGAGCAGTGCTTGTGCAGCCACGTGCAGCCACGTGCAGCCCCATCCATAAACATCTTGTATGCATGCGAGTGCAGAACACGGGCAGTCGAGGTTGTTGGTCGCTGACGAAGCATTCTCCTGTGCTCCTGGCTCGAACGAGCACCTCGGTAAAGGACTCTCCAAATGTTTTAGTAAATGTTTTAGTGAATGTTGCGTTTGGTTTGAATGGAATTTCGGCCACTGCTGAGAGCGAGGCGGTGCATAGTGTGCCCAGCGCTTGAATCAGCTGTGTCGTGGAGTCTTCCCGCTACCCCTCTTGTCGTGTGTTGGAGGTGGAGCTCGGCCGATGATAAATGCGGTTTCTGTTTGGATTGGGAAGCCATCGTTTTGTACGGTCGGCGGAAAAACATCCGGTCAGTCGAGGGACTCTCTTCATAGCTGTGACTTCTTGTGTAAATATAAACGTCATCGTTTTTACACGTTGGAATTTAGTCGCCTAAAGTGACCCCCTGGGTGCTGCATTGGGCGTTTCTTTTCACCACAATTTGCTGCACCCAAGACGATTGTGTCAATCAAAGACTACTTGAAAAGTAAACCCCTAGCCCTCGGTCCGTATCGGGCCAGGTGGCTTTACGGCAGAGCCAGCGGCTCGCAGTCTGAAGGTTGCGAGGAGTTAAAGTCCTCGTTTGAAGGGTGGCTTAAGTCCATCACCCTTCCGGGATGGACACGAGTGCCGCTTGGCGCTTCGCCCGCACCTCTGGCTTGAGCTGCCCCAACGCAGTGCAGTCATCGCTGCCACGCTATCACACCCTCATTGCGCACAATCTCATCACATCTCGGAAGCTAAGCACAGTTGAGTCCGGTTGTTAGCTTGATGGGAGACTGCCTGCGAATGGATGCGAGGTATTGGTAGGCTTGGGTTGCGAGGTGGTCGGGGCCCAGCAGGAGAGCTATAGATTCTTCAGTCTGTCTGTGCAGAGCTTGACGTGTATGGGGTTTCTCTCTGGGTGCTTTGAGTTTTCTCCATCATGCCACACATTCAATAATACCATTGGTCAAACATCAAAATCCATGTCCTTCCTGACCAAGTTTTGAGACCCAGCGAAACTTTCATAGAGGGATGTTATTGTTGTTGTAGTTACTATTGGGTAGGGGCTCGGGGACCGCCGTGAAAACGATCCGTGACATTGCAGATGCCTATCTTTGGTAAATGTTTTTTTGTTGTTGTTGCATGTACACGAGATTATTTATATAAGATGAAAGTGCTCCTTGCAGATTGTTTACACCATCGGGCCCAGATCTGTCCGGGAGCACTTATTTACCACTGCATAGAAGCATCGCAGATGTGAAAAGCAGGAGCCGAATCGGAGATTCCGCGGCCGAACCGATGAGTACGAGGCAATCGGCGCTGCAGCCGTGCGGGCGAAACTCGCGCGACGGAACGCTTTGCCAACAGTCGCCCCTTAGACTCGCTTACCGGTTGGGTGACAAAAGTTAACGCCGCATCCCACGAGGTTCTTGACTGGAAATCTCAACTCGATGTCTCTAGCCTTGTAACGTTTTGCTCTATCCATGCGTCGGAAGGAGACTTTAGTGGCACTCGAGGATGTGGCGCTCCCATCTCAAACACCCGGGCACGGCTGACTTGTCGCCGGGCAGTTGCCATCCTCAGGCTCTCGCCGCCGCCGACTTGGCCGATGGCGCGACGCGGTGCGTCCGCAGTGGCCAGCTCCGTGCCCCGTGTGGTGTCTGGATCAGACTCTGCACGGGTGAGCAGGGGTTGCGGAAGAGCGTGGCACTTAGACGCGCTCCTCACTCTCCAGAAGCACGCTTTATTGATCGGGGGGGGGGGGGGGGGTACCAGTGGGCAAAGCCGAGATGATCTCGCCGATTCCCATTCCTCGCCGAACAGTAGCGGCGAATGTGGAGTGGGGGAGGTGGAGTGGGGAGGTGAGGGTGGAGCGGTGAGAGAGTTGGGTGGGGGCCGCTGGAGTGGGGTGAAGCGAGGAAGTAGGGGGAGGAGGCACGAGGGCGGGGGTGGTGGCGTGGGGGGTGAGCGGGGGGGCTGAAAGGGAGAGGAGAGGAGCGGTGACTCCTGCTGTACCTGGCCAGGTTGAGGCTGAGTGCAGCGTGCGTGTCCACGTGTCGTCCCGTTGGCACCCGTGTGCGGGTGTGGAGGGGAGGTTCGGCCGATTTGTTGACGCGGCCGAGGGGCGGACGCCAGCGCACCCTGGCACGGCGGACCGTTGGGACACCTCGCCAGCACATTTCCATCAAATTGCGTTGGCTCCCTCGGAAGCTGGGGAACATTTTGGTACCTTCGGGTGTCCAAAGCGTTTACTCTACAGCCTGATCCTTGATCCGTGATGTGCAGGATTTCATGGAATTACTGTTTGTGAATACTAAAAAAAAGCGTTCAGTCACTTCACCTGGATTCTCACTCGATTCGTTGAGTTGGTTGTGGGAGAAATCGTTTTATTGCCGTCGATTAGTTACAAATACTGTCTAAGTCCTTCATGTACACTCGCACACTTCATACGCATGTCGATTAGCACGGTTGGTTACGTATGGTGGGATATAAATTGAGCATACATACGTATGGCTAGTGTATGAAGCAATGGAAATTCTGTCTGACTTGTGATATCTTTTCAGACTAATTGTGAATGGGCGTGCTCTCTGACGGCCTGTGGCCATGACAGATTTGCATGCTGTGGTTGTTTTAGAATTCTACTGCCCTTGTCCCTCAGGGCGGGCTGGTGTTTGTGGCGTATCTGTTAATCGTTTTGGGGTTATCACCTTGATCACATCCGACGTCAGCAACACCGATAAGCCGCACTTAACAAATTATATGGCAACCTCGTCTGGACATTAGCGAATGGCACGATGCAGGTAGGCAGACTTGGCGTGTAATTCTCAGCATGCCCAAGTAACAGTGACATGACTGTGCAGCTGAACCGCGTGTTCCCTGTGCAGCTGAACCACGTGTTCTCTGTGCAGCTGAACCACGTGTTCCCTGTGCAGCTGAACCACGTGTTCTCTGTGCAGCTGAACCACGTGTTCCCTGTGCAGCTGAACCACGTGTTCTCTGTGCAGCTGAACCACGTGTTCCCTGTGCAGCTGAACCACGTGTTCTTTGTGTAGCTGAACCACGTGTTCTCTGTGCAGCTGAACCGCGTGTTCTTGTGCAGCTGAACCACGTGTTCTCGGTGCAGCTGAACCACGTGTTCTCTGTGCAGCTGAACCACGTGTTCCCTGTGCAGCTGAACCACGTGTTCCCTGTGCAGCTGAACCACGTGTTCCCT